TCACGTCAAAATAATGAGAACTGGTGCCAGAACTGATACTGGCTATGGAAAAGCGCGTACCGGAAAGGTGCTGCGAAAAATAAAATAAAAATATGAAAAATATTACAAAAATGAGTAGGTTCAGATTCCAAATTTTGGGATCAAAATACTAAGTGTAGCTATTAACGCTAATACAGTGTGATTAAGGCTTAAGTGAGGCTATATATACAACTTTTGGGCCCAAAACCCTAGGCAACTTAGTTACTACACGTAGAGGGGACGCTGACCAGCTTCTTTTGACACTGTTTCATTGCTCCCTAAACCATTTGTGAGAATTGTGGCCTCTTTTGCTTCATTTCTTCATCCTAAACACCTTGTAAGAGTAAGGGATACCTTTGAGGGTGAGTGGAGGACCTTGTGCTGAGTTCTTAGCCTCTGGTTTGGTGCTGCTAAGGGCTGTTTTCTGAGTTTGGGTGAGAGGGTTCATCTTCTTGGCTTGTGAAGCTCCAAGGAGCTTTCTTTGTAAAGAAAGAACCAACCTTGATAATCATTTTCGTGCACTTAGTAGTCAGCACTTTGGAGCTAGAGTGTGAGCTCCAAGAGCACCCATAGCTACTGCCTTGAACCTTGGGTAAGTGTCACTGATAACTTTCCAAAAGAGAGTTATTTTTGGACTTAATTGTGATATTTTGGTACCATGATTGCATATAATTCTCTTGATTTTATATGATTAATGCACGAATTCTATGATTTCATGATTTAATTGAGAATTATGTTAATTATGTGTATTTGGATATAAATGAGCATTGGAAACATTTAAATGCACTTGTTATTTTACTGCAGGTCAATGCTGTAGCATCGGAAAGCAGTGCTGTAGCAATGGAGATGAGGTTAGCAGTACATACTGTTGACATCAACACCAGCAAACCATGGATCCAAGCCCAATTTGGTTAATGAAGCTTCTGAACGTGTACGAAAAGATCTGATTGGAAGACGCGCTCAACATCATCAAGAAATCACAAGATTATCTTCATCAAATCAATGATTACAGATCGGATTCAAATCTGAATTGTAAATATGGAAAGAATCCTGTGAGATATGCTATAGCACATGCTGTCAGCTTGATAGCAAAACAGAGTGCCAATCTCAATCAATCACAAGGCAGCTTTGAGTGATGATTTGCATGGTCTGGAAGAGATGATTGAAGCCTAGAATATCAAAGCTTATAAAGGAAAGAATCTCCAATCAGCGCTGCAGCAAAACAGAGTTGTATCTTCAATCAGTGCTGCAGCAAATAAGGAAAGAATCTTCAATCAGCGCTGTAGCAAAACACATCTGTATCTTCAATCAGTGCTGCAGCAAATAAGGAAAGAATCTTCAATCAAGCGCTGCAGCAAAATAGAGTGTCATCCTTATCCACTCACACGACAGATTTGAATGAAGATTTACATGGACCTGAAGAGCTGTTTGAAGCCCAGAATATCAAGTATATAAAGAACGAACCCTACACACAGAAAAAGGGCTAGGAACGCTACACATGCTTTAGACATTCAATCAGATCCTAGAGAGAGAAAGTGGGGGAAACACATAGAGAAAATTTGAGGGTTCGTTGAGAGAGATCCAAGGAATCAAAGGGTGAGGCTAGGGTTTGGTAGAGAGATCATCAAATCCGGTGGATCCCTGCACTATTCCGGCGGATGAAGCAAGGATGATGGTGGTTGAGCCTACGGTAGCTGCGAGAGCAGTGCTACAACAACGTCCATGTTTTCTTTACTTTAGTTTAATGGAATCTTATTCTTTCTTTGTTGTTTCTTCCCACCCATGTATGGGCTAAATTGTTATGATTGAGTGATAGAGTACCCTTATTGTGATGTAATCAGTTTGCCTAAACTTTGCTATATGATTGTCCTTTTAGTTGTTTAATAAAGTGCTTATTTTTATTCTTGTTGACTTATCGAGAGAGAGCTGCAAGATAATTAGGGTTTGGGCTATAGAGATATAGGTGAACTCAGAAAGTTATTAAGCATTATGGTTTAACTAATTTAATTAGTTAATTGTGAGTAGAGAGATCATTCACACCACAAAATCAAATGGAACTTGCACTTAATGATTCATAACTATGTTGGCCATAGAGATGTGGGACTTAGTATACATGTAGAGTTGGTGAGAGCCCTTGCATGCATTAGTGTTTTGGTTACTGAATGGATAATTGTTGTAGCATGGTTAGTGCATTCTGGTGAAGTTTCAATAATGGGAAAATTGATCCCAATCTATCTTTAATACTTGGAAAACCTATTTTATTACTGCATTATCATAGTTAATCATTAGTCTTAGTTATTTTATCTCTTAATTGTTAAATTAGTCATTAGCTTATCACAAATCAACATTGTTACCTTAATTGCTTCACATTGATCCTAATTTTATAGTTTTCTTCGTGGGAACGATATCTGGACTCACACATCCACTTTATTACTTGTTGACACGTGCACTTGCGTAATGCGTGATTGATAAAGGGGTACACAATTGCACAACAGTCACCACCTTTGATCATGAGTTTTAATGGGTAAAGGAGATGTCTTGGCATGTTTAATGAATTAAACAAGTAACCACCTTGTATATGAACCTAAAGAAGTGTAAAAATGCATGCTTGGACGTTGGAATGGGTTAAAAACCCAACCTTTAGAAGGATATCTCGCGAAATGCAGAACTACATTCTGTCGCGAAATATCTGGATATTGATATCCGGATATGCATATCCGGATATTGGGGTTCTAGATATCCAGATATTGATATCCGGATATTGAAGAGAGATATCCGGATAATGATATCCGGATATGCCCCCGACGAATATCCGAATATTCTGGGTTTTCGAAGAACAGTAGCTGCACTGTTCATACAGAAGGCTATTGGGGGTTTGTGGACCCTAGATGGATGAAGTTGAACTTCTGTAATAATTAAATAAACTAAGTCAGAATCAAGTGATTAATGGCTTGTGGCTTTGTGAAAAGCCTAAAGACGTAAAACGTAAAAGAGTAGCATTATCTTTATGTTTATGCTTATGAGCTATGTTATTGATATGATTGCTGGTCCAAATCAGTTTGTGATTCTGCTGTGTTTGGACTTTGAGCTTTGGTTGGACTCTTGGCTTGGATTGTTAGCTTGCAAGGTAAGCTTTCGTGTCCTCGGTTTAGCCATTGTTGGTTCCACCATTTCCCATGGGGGGATGGTTGTATGCATGATGTGTTTTCATGTACTATTTTATTAAAATGCTAATGAGCTGTTAAGTGCAATTGCTTATGATATGTATGTGGTGTTACGCCTACAGGAGGCCAATGGGTGGTCCTGTGGGCGAGTACAACAATGGCTAGTACTGTGTGGGTTTAGATAGATTCCTGCACTTCTCTAATCAGTAGAATTGTTTTAACACACATGACATGATTATTTGCTGCATTGCACTGTTTTGGAACTTATACTATTAAACTGCCTTTTTGAACTTATATTGCACATGTAAGTGAACTTGGTGTGGAAATTCCTCGAGGACCCCTTGTCTTACTGAGATTTCTTGTTAGAGATCTCACCCCATGTTTGGGGCACCTATTTCAGGTTCAGGTAACATTGGGGTTGATTCCTCTAGCGACAGGAGGCCGAAGCTTAGTTGACTATATACTTGTTGTATGCTGACATGACTGGATATTGGATGCTACTTATGTTTTCTGCCTTTATCATGATTTTGAGTTGAGATTGCTGTTGGTCTTCATTTCCTTATTTGGTGAGCATGAGGTGTCCGTGCCACATTGATTGACTATGTCTTAGTTTAGCTTTGCGTATTAATAATGTATCAGGATTATGTCCGGACTACGTGTTGTAGTTCCGTGATTTTAGATACTCACAGTTATTTATATATGAGGTATTTTAGTTATTGTTGAATTGTAATTACATACAGACGATGTTTTATGAAAATGATTAAGTAATCAACTTGGCTAAGTATAATGACGTCATAATTGAAAAGAAAAAGATATTCCGCATTTTTAAATTAACCGTGACTTAATACGATGACATGTTAACAAACCAGGTTAACACGGGGTGTTACAGTCACCGTCACCACCATTATGATCGCAACCACTGTCGTCACTGTCACCATCGCCATCACACGTCATTGCCACCACCCCCATCGCCACAACTACCACCACCGCGACGCTACCACTACCATCACCACCACTGTCACCAACCACCACTACCATTGTCGCAGCCACTACCGTCATCACCACCAACCACCACCACCATCGTCACAGCTATTATCGTCACCACCACCACCACTGTCACCTACCGCCACCGCCACTGCCACCACCAACACCACCCTGATGCCTTCACAACCACCACCACCATGCCACTGCTACCATTGTTGCTGCTACCAACCACCATACCCACCATCATTGTCGCAGCCACTGCCGTCACCTCCACCACCACCATCCCCACCACTACCGCCATCGCCGTCACCATTACTACCGCCATCGCCCCAGCCACTGCCGTCACAACCACCACCACTATCTTCACCACGTCACTGCCACCATCACTACTGTACCGCTGCCGCCACCACCACCATGCCACCCACTGCCACCGCCACCACAACCACACTATATGAAAAGGAAAGTGATTATCCAATTTTTTTTATATTTAATAGGAATTATTTTTTGTTATATTATTTGTTGTGTTATCAAACACAATTCTCATTCTCGGAATAAAAATAGAACATGTTATCAAACACATTTTTTTTCCTCAGAAACTGTTCCAAGACACAGAAATAGAAAAGAATTATTTCTTTTCAGAAACAGTATTAGGGAATAGAATAGTTGTCATGCACATCTTAAAGTTATTTTTTTCTTCTCACAATCTATCAGCTAATATGAAAAATGAAAAAAAAAAAATTTAATTTTAATATTATTATATATTCCGAAAAATATTCTGTCGTTTAAAAAGGAAAAAACGTTTGCCCTGACAGAATCATGTAACACGAGAAAATTTAACACAAAATGAATGTTACGAGACGTGTTTGTGTGAAATTCTAATGTGACGTGTCTGCTCTCTGAAGTTTCGGTTGTGTTCCCTCGTGAAAGCTTAGTTAAAGTAGTCCATTGTTGCGCTGATAACACAGAAGAACAAGAATGGGGGCTGGAGCATCATCATCAGCATCAGAAGCAGCCAAAGTTTCAGGCATCTTCGTATACCCAATCAAGTCATGCCGTGGAATCTCTCTTTCCCGTGCTCCCCTCACTCCTGCTGGTACAAATTTCACACACACATTATACCCACTTCTCTTTCTTTTTCATTTTTCATTTTTTTTATTTTTCTTCTTCTTCTTCAAGACTTATGCTTTCCAGTCAAACATATATAATAGTATTGGTATCTGACAGGACTTCGATGGGATCGACAATGGATGGTGGTGAATTCCAAAGGGAGGGCATTCACTCAAAGAGTTGAACCAAAGCTTGCTTTGGTTGAGATTGAACTCCCAACTGAGGCATTTCTTGAAGACTGGGAACCTACACATGATTCCTATATGGGTATTTTACACTCTTGTAAACCATGATAATATCCTCTAACTCATAACATTATGATGATTTTTATTTATTACTATTATTATGGATTGGCACCTATGGCCTTTTATTAATTTTTTAAAATAATTGTCTTAGTGAGAAAAGATGGAAATTACAATTAGGGAGAGGATAACATATCCTCAAGGTAGTGAAGCTGTCTAGTGAACTAGTTTCTCTATTTTTTTTTTATAGATACCAACCGGTGTTCGAAGCCTTGATGGCCCGACTAATCTGGTTTCGGGTTTAAACATCTTCATCCTTTCCGGGAGTTGCGACTCTCAGGATTTGAACCCTTTTATTTGGCAGGTCAAATCCTGGGGTCTAGATGGGCCGCTACTAAACCAACAACATAAACAAAAACACTCTTGAGTATGAGCAAAACACCCAAGAGAAGCCATGAACAAAACCCTGTCCCATAACAAGTTTAGGAGCAGATTGAAACCTTCAGAGATGTGAGCCAACCAAATACAGCAAATCTGGAAAGGTTTTTAGAAAAGACAAATTGGGAACTAGGATATCTATCAGAACATCTTTTTTCTTTTCTCAAGGCAATGGGTAAGTCTTCAAGATCAGTCTCAGATTTATTTTAAAGGAATATTCAAAGGATCAAGATTATGAGGAACAATATGTACATGACTTACCCATAGGCAGATAGGCTCAGACAACTGAAGCTATTGTTGGACCAATTTGGGTTTTTTTCTCCTTTGAAACACTAGTTGTGGTGGACCTACCTTGGCTTTAGCTGGCTCAGTAGTTGATTCGAGTAAGTTATCAAAAGAAGGCACTAGTTCCTGCATATTAGTAGAATTAGACACTTAGTAGAATTAGAAAGTAAAGGAAAAGATGACTCTTGAAGGACTTAGCTTCAACTATGAACTCAGGAGATGGAATATGGGAGGGTTGGTTTTGGGACATAAAGAATCATCAAAATCTGCTACAATGCAAAATGACGCCCTCTTTTTATGAAGAACCCCAAAAATATTCGGTTACATAATAAAGTAGCCATCTTACAAGTTACAATGCAGGAATAAGTGGCCTATTGTTTCTGAACTAGGCATGCTCAATATAGCCATACAAAGAGAAGAAGTGTTGAGGTCGATGGATCTGTGGCAAGTCATTTGTATCCATCGTATTAAGTATCACTGTCCAAACAAACAACTTGACCTTAGAGGTATTCCCTTTGATTGATGTTTGAACGAGGGTGAAGTATCTCTTGGGGGTTGGAGGCTCAAATTGTTAAATATGTGGGATCATAAGGTTTTTAAGCACTTGGTTAAATTTTGGTTTGATAGTGGAAAATATCAAGTGAGGCATCTTGGGGATTGGTCATTCTGAACCGGTATAAAAAGATCTTGAACTCTTCCTCTATTCTTTTCTTATTGATTTTTTGCATTTTGCATACAAGGTAATTGAGCCCTGTTGACTAGATTTGCATGCTTATACTTATGTGTTTTTGGTTAATTGTCAAGTAGCTTCAAAAAACTTCTCATACAATGTTTTGAAGGTATTTTGGGAAAATTAATTCAATGCCTCCCCTCTTGGTTATGGAAGGCACTGGGAAATATCTGTTATACAAAGGACATTAGAGTTGTCTAAAGTTCTTATTATGTTAATGCATGTGTCTTTGATTGATCACTCTTTTCCTCTCATTTGATATCTTACGGAGTTTAGACATGATTTGTGATTTTAGTTTCTGCATTTCATTCTGAATTTGGTGTTTAAACTTCATTTCTCATTTGACAGATGCCTTCCATGCGTCCTTAATTTTGAAAATAAAAAATGTTACAGTAGCTGAAATGCTTATTGACTTTTGCTTTGCACATTCTGCATGATCATGATTGCTCTTTTATTTGTTTAGTAAATGAATATAAAGCATCACTATCTTAATATTGCAGTGTTGAAAGCACCTGGGATGCAACCTCTCAAAATTTGTTTGAGTAAACAACATGAAGTAACAGATGCTGTCACAGTATGGGAATGGACTGGGTCTGCCTTTGATGAGGGAGCTGAAGCATCACAGTGGTTCTCAGATTATTTAGGAAAACCCTGCCAACTGGTCCGGTTCAATACCGGTAGGTCTTTGAAATTATGAAACCTTAAAAAATAAGATAACAAGAACAAAAATGATTGGAAGGATGTGTTACTTTAGACATGTAATGAATTGGTAAAGGACTATAACTGTTTTGAGAACACATGAACATCGCTGGGTCTAAATTGGGGCAATGTATATGCACATGCATTGATTCACAATGATGAGTATGTATTAACTAGATTTTAACTAAAGTTGTCAAGCGTTTCCAGAGGGAAACAAAACCCGGTTGAGTTGTGAATGAGAAGGCTGGCCTTTCTAAATATTCATTTCTGCTTTGTTGTCTTTTTTATTTGTTTTAATTAATTTATTTAATTTTTTGAATGAGAAGGCTGGCCAGCCTTGTTATCTGCCACCAGCCTAGGCTAGCCTAGCATGTTGCAACCACTGTGAACCATATTCAGAAAACAAACTCCGTTGGTATGTTTTTTATATTTTGTCTCTTGACTGAAAAATAGCGAATCTATTGAATTTGTAAGTCCCTAATTTCTGAATGAGTGCCCGTTTGGATGAATATTTTTTTTCTTCAAAAGTTGCTTTTTTTCAAGAAAAAAAGCACTTTTCATTTTTATTTCGTTTGGATGTCTGCTTTTAAAAAAAGCAGAAGTCACAAAAAAGTCAAAAACCTACTTTTTCCAGAAGCTAAAAATTTTAACTTCCAAGAAAAGCAGAAGTCAAAAGCCAAATATTTTTTCAAAAACTAAATATTTTTATAAAAATATAAATAGCTTTAACTTTTATAAAAAGCACTTCTAAAATAAGGAAGAGATAAAAGTTACTTTTTTGAAAAGCCCAAACAAACGGGCTCTTAGTAAGACTAAGATAAGAGTTCAGAATACTCACTCCTAATTCGTAGGCTATTACAACTTTGAGCTATTTATGATGTAAAAGTGTTTGATGTTTAATACATTTGGTGTTATGGATGATTCTTGGAGTCAATTAGAGACATATGTTTTATGTTTTAAGTAGAAGTTAAGTTTTTCATAAAAGTTTGTTGTTTTATTGATATATTATTGTTATTTTTTGGTTTTAGTAAATGTATATAATATAATGTGAACCTAACTTCAATATTTCCTTGTGCATGCAATGCATAAAGGTGCCGTGAGCCCTTTGTCACATCAGTGCATTGGATTGCATAAACAACTACAATAACTCTCCAGTTTAAAATTTCCAAACCCTGGAATCATGATGAACCTCTTTAATGTTTTCAAATGCAGCTTCAGAAGTTAGACAAGTGGATCCTGATTATGTTGGGGGACATCATAAGACCTTGTTCTCTGATGGTTATCCATTCTTACTCATATCTCAGGTCAGTCCAGTTGGGAAATGAATTCTAAATTTACTTATACGCTAAATCCTTATTCAGTATTTGTCATCTTGACTTTCAGGATTCACTGGACGCACTAAACGAGCTTCTAAAGGAACCCATACCTATTAATCGTTTTAGACCCAAGTATTGATTTTTTTATATGTTTTGGTCTACTCCTGCAATTATATAATCTTTGTTTCATAATATTTGTTACTAATTTAGACCAGAAGGTACTGAATTGATCTAACGGATTATTAAATCACATAATTGAGATTTTGGTGCTTCATGGTGCAGTATCCTCATTGAAGGTTGTGAACCATTTTCCGAGGACTTGTGGACAGAGATCAAGATAGGCAGGTTTACATTTCTGGGTGTCAAGCTGTGTGCCCGTTGTAAGGTGAAGAGTTCTACTTCATAATTTCCAACCTATCATATATCCAATATGATCATTAGGAACATGTACCAGGTGACTTGTGCTAACAAATAACAATTCTATTTTCTAACATGCACCAGTATAATATACATAGGTTAACTAATGTGGTAGGCAGAGCTTGGATAATGTACTGAGCCTTTCATTAGATAAAGATGTAAGGAATGGCTATTACTTTGAAGTTTCAATTAAGGTTCGGTTGTTGTTGTTGTCAATATCTTTATATCATTCTAAACCAGACGTGACTTTATGAAACTTCATAATTTCTGGCAATGTAATTAGTCTTGTACCTTAGTTTAGTAGCCAGGTTCATTTACATATGATTAGTTAGGTCAGATTCTTAATGAGGGAAATTAAGACAACTTTTCTGTGGCTATAATGGCCCCTGTAAGGCTGGTTGCTATTTGTACTGGTTCCTTTAGTAGTTGGATATCAAGAATGGTTTCTTCCATGGTGATCTCAAAGAAGTTTACACGAAGTAACTACTTGGGTTAGTTGCTTACGGGGAGTTTGGCTTAGTTTGTCATGTTCATAAATCTTTTTGTTGATTCAAGAAGTCCCCTCGGGCTTAGTTTGGACAATTTAGTTCTATTGTCCAACAATATGGTATGACTCGAATTGAAGCTGATCGACCACTATGTTCTATCTCCATGTGATCCAAGGTTTCATTTATTTGATTGTGGCTGTGGATGATATTGTCATTCTAGATAGTGACTACCACGACATACTTCAAATAAACCAATGTCTTCGTCATCACTTTCAAACCAAAGACCTTGGCAAGCTTCTATACTTCTCGGGAATGGAAGTGGCTCAATCCACAAATAGTCATTTTAGTGAGGAAGTATGCTATGGATATTCTGGAAGCTAGCTTGCTGAATGCCAGGCCACACTCCTAAGGTTCCAAATGTCAAAATTCAAGTAGATCAGAGGGGGCCAATATCAGATCGAGGAAGGCATAGAAGATTGGTTGTGAAACTAAACTATTTCACTGTAACAATGTGGTTAGTCAGTTCTTGGATGGCCTTTTTGAAGGTCATTGAGATGCATTGATTGATATCCTAAGGCATAATAAAAGAGATCAAGGAAAAGTCCTGATCTATAATGATAAAGGACATGCGCTGATTGTTGGATAAATAGGTGCATATTGGGCGGACTCTCTTCCTGATGAATGATTTACTTTTGGGTATTGTGTATTCATTGGGTATATTATGATATCCTGGAAGAACAAGAAACATAAGATGGTTGCAAGGTCAAGTGTAGAAGCACAATATTGAGCCATGGCCTCAACTACTTGCAAACTCATTCGGTTGAGACAACTTCTGAAAGAACTTTAGTTTGGGGAGATTATGTAGATAACACTTATATGTCATGTGACTTTGCATATCGCCTCCAATCTAATGTTTCATGAGAGGACCGAATACATTGAGGTAGACTATCACTTAATCATGGAAAATATTTTATTAGGATATATTACCATTAGTTTTGTCAATTCCAATGGTCAACTATCAGAAGACTTCACCAAATCCTTGAGAGGTCCGTGAGTAAGTTATCTATGTAGCAAGCTTAGTGCATATAACCTAATTTAAGGGTAAGTGTTGGATAATTAGTCTTACAACTTAGTTTAATGTCCAAGTTAATTGTTCATATGATTAGTTAGGTTAGATTCATTCTATATATGTTAATTAGGGAAATTAAGACCTGTGTATAATTATTAGATTAACGTATATTCAGTTGTTTGTGGTGTGCACTGACACATGGGGTGCTCTTTTCTTTCTGAACATTTATCAAATTGTACAAGCTTTTTACTTCATTGGATCATCCATACCATAGCTTAGATTCTCAAGACGGAAGACCATATGTTAATTGACCATTCTCCCTGCTCTTGAATAGAGGGTATCATCCACCCATATTGTATATTAGAAATTAAATTTTAAATTAAGGCCTCTCTTTTGAGATAAGGGGAGTGATGAAGCAACTATTTATGGTTTAATTTTGTTGTGGTGATTATTAGCTTTGTGGAATGCTGTATGGCGCGGAATGCTGGCCAGCACATAGACAACATGAGCATAAGATGGGAGTAGCAGAGATGAGAATGTTAAGGTGGATGTGTGGTTACACAAGGATGGATAAAATAAGAAATGAAGATATTCGACGAAAGGTCGGAGTAGTACCAGTAGCCGAGAAGATGAGAGAACATAGATTGAGGTGGTTTGGGCACGTGATGAGAAGGCCCCTGGATGCTCCTGTAAGAACAGAAGTTTGTTACCAAGAGCTCAACACAAAAAGAGGCAGAGGTAGGCCGAAACTTACTTGGGGGAAGGTGGTAAAACAAGATTTAATGGAGTGGGATATAGATTGGCGGACGATATGTCTTAGAACGGAATGGAGAAAAGCTATAAGTATGGTGGAGGGTTAGACCCGTTATTATTCTTTTGTTCCAGATGGTCCTTTTTTAGTCCTTTTCCCCTTCATCTCCCCCACTTCTTCTTGTCCCTTTCTTTTTTACTTTTATTTATCTATATATACATATATATATATGAGGCAGGATCCTTTGACACCGGTGTCAAATTTGAAATTTGACACCTCATCTAATAGCCATTAGACCAAAAAAGATCAATGGCTCTGATTTGTAAGCATGTGACACCATTGATCTTTTATGATCTAATGGCTCTCATATGAGGTGTCAAACTTCAAATTTGACACTGGTGTCAAAGGATCCTACCTATATATATATATATATATATATATATATATATTTTATTTTATTGTATTTTATTGTATTTTATTTTATTTTATTTTCAACCGTTTTGTATCTTTCATGTGGGTTCATCTACCACCGACCCCAATTAATTTGGGATAAAGGTGATGTTGATGTTGATGTTGATGTTGATGTTGATGTTGATGTTGATGTTGTTGATTATTAGTTTTGTGGAAGTTGTTTTCACCAGCCTGTCAGCAATACATATGGAAGAATAACCAACTAGGTAACTTGTTGAAATAATGGTGTGATGGATCACGGACCTATGGAAAACATACTATTATACTATGACAAGACATAAAGCCCAGAGTACTGAGGTATAGCAGTTATAATTTCTACGTTTAGGATGAGATACAAGGATGCTCTTGCTCTTGAAAAATGGATTTATGGGGCAAGGGATGACTGACACCACTCCCTGGTTATGTGTTGAATAATCTTCTGTTTGTAGCTTCTTTATTTTTCTTAGACTGATTTAGACATTTCTTATTGGTTGTAAACCCATATTTATCTATCTATCTATCATTTATCTTTTTAGTCTTTGATCTCCTCTCTACACTATTATTGTCTGTATACCTTGGATTTCACATGGAGAATATATATTATGCAATATACACATGCCAATCTACTTTTCCGTGTAATTTCTTAGTCTAGTTGTGTATCTAACTTGCATGACTGATGCTGTTTGTTACGGTAGTCAGATACCTTCAATCAATCAAGAGACCGGGATAGGTGGACCTGAACCAAATGAAACTCTTATGAAATATAGGTCTGGCAAAGTCATAAGAAATGGTAAAAATAAAAACCAGGTGAGACATTCAGTGATCAAGCTTTCAATGAATATCCCTTTTGGTTCAATGATGTCAGTCAAATGATAATATTAATTGCTTCTGCAGTTCTACTTTGGTCAGAATGTGGTATGGAACTGGAAGGATTCTTCTGCTAAAGAGAGTGGAAAGATCCTTGAAGTGGGAGATCCTGTTTATGTTATCGGAAAAGTCACTTCTGCTGCTGAAGCAGCTGCATGAACCTATGTATGTAGTATCTGCACTGATCCTATACCAGAAATTAGAAGGCTACAAACTTTATCAAACATTAGTACACCTGTGCCTATGATGAAAATAAGAGATTACTGGCTTTGTGTAGTTGTAACTTGTATTGCATCTACCATGTCTTTTATCCAAATAAATCCATAACATTAAGTTTAGAAATGGACCTGCAATTAAAGGGACTTAAATAAGGCTTGTGCCAAAAGCAAAAATAAAAAAAATATTTTGACTTGTTTTTTATTTTCATTTTGGCGACATGTTATTACTAAGAAAAATATTAGCCAGCCAAATTTTTGCTACTAGGATTTTTTCCCGAATTAGTTGGCATTGGTATTGGAACTTCTGGTTTTATCTTCTTTTTTCACAAAATTTTGAAAACAAAAATGCATTTTTATTTTTCATCATCTCTATTACAAACATTATTTTATTCACAAAATTATGAAAATGAAAATAATCATTATTTTTATAATACATTAATATATAACTTGAAAAAGGGTAATGAAATATATTATTTGAATTGTATGTAAACTGTACGAAGGGTTCTTTATTTAAAGAGATTACATGATCTAATGGGCTAAGCTTAATACAACAAATAAATAAATATTATTATTTACAACATTCCCCCTCAAGCTAAGGAATAGATATTTATCATTCTCAGCTTGCTAGTAAGCTCTTGAAATCTGTCTGAAGGAAGTTCCTTTGTCAATACATCAGTTAATTGATGTCCAGTGAGAATATATAGAGTGGTAATTAACCCACTATCAAGTTTCTCTTTGATGAAAGGACGGTCGACCTCAATATGTTTATTCCGATCATGTTGAATTGGATTATGAGCTATACAAATAGCGGACTTATTATCACATAGCATCTTCATAGGTCCTTCACATTTTATTTTGAGATCATCAAGTACAATTTTCAGCCACAATAACTCACAAATGCCTTGAACCATATTTCGAAATTCAGCCTCTGTACTTGATCTGGCAACTACATCTTGTTTCTTACTTCTCCACGTCACCAAGTTACCACAAAGAAACATACAATAACCAGTGGTAGAACGACGGTCAGTCACAAATCTAGCATAATCAGCATCAGTGTAAACTTCTAAAGAGAGAACGCCATCACGCCTAAATAATAGTCCTTTACCAGAAGTGGCTTTAAGATACTGAATAATTTTCTCCACTGCCTGCATGTGTTTCTCCTTTGGATCGTGCATAAACTGACTGACAACACTAACAGAATAAGCTAGGTCTGGTTTAGTATGAGCCAAATATATCAGCTTCCCAACTAGCCGTTGATATTGTCCTTTATTAACTGAAGGACTCTCCTCTTCATAACCTATCTTGTGATTCTGCTCAATAGAAGTATTCGAGGGTTTACACCCAAGATTTCCTGCTTCTTTGAGAAGATCAAGAACATATTTCCTCTGACTGATAAAAATTCCATTGTTTGAATGAGCTACCTCTATCCCTAGGAAATATCTCAATTTTCCAAGGTCTTTAATTTCAAACTCAGAGGCTAGTCGTGTTTGCAGAATATGTCTCTCCACAAAATCATCACCTGTTATAATAATATCATCAACATATACAAGGAGCACAGTGAGCTTCCCATCTTGGGAGTGCTTAAAGAAAAGAGTGTGATCTCCTTGACTCTGTTTGTTTCCTAAGGTCATCATAACCTTAGTATACCTCCCAAAACCAGGCACGAGGTGACTGCTTCAATCCATACAAGGCTTTTCTTAATCTACAAACTTTATTTTCTCCGTTCACAGAATCAAAACCAGGCGGGATTTTCATGTAGACTTCTTCTTCTAACTCACCATTAAGGAAAACATTCTTCACATCAAATTGATTTATATCCCAATTGTAATGGGCAGCAAGGGATAACAAGACTCTCACTGTATTCATCTTTGCAACTGGAGCAAAAGTTTCTTCATAATCAATGCCATAGGTCTGAGTGTAACCCGTGGCGACTAACCGAGCCTTATATCTCTCAAGAGTGCCATCAGAATTATACTTCAGGGCATAAACCCATCTGCACCCTACTGCTTTCTTTTCATTGGGTCTATCAATAACATCTCATGTTCTATTTTTCTCCAACGCATTCATCTCCTCTTGCATGGCTTGAGCCCAATTCTTATCTTTCAATGCTTCATGTACTGATTTTGGGATTAAAATAGAATCTAGTGCTGAAACAAAGCTTTTGTGCTGCACATAAATATTAGTAGAAGAAACAAAATGGGAGATAGGGTATTGAGTACAAGAGGGATACGAGGAACAAGATTTCTTGGAACAAGATCTTTTTTCTTTTCTTAGGGCAATGGGTAAATCATCAGAATCAGAAGCAATGGGTAAGTCATCAGAAGTATTAATATCATGATCAGAAATATGATATTCAGGACTTACCAGTGATTCAGACGATTGAGGTTGCTGGTGAAGCAGTGTGGGTTGTTTCCTTCTATGATATACCAACTCAGGTGTTACAATCTTTCGTCTCTCATGTGTGCTTGATGGATCAGACACATAAGGATCATACACAGGAGATTCAGACACAGGAGGAACAGACACAGGATGAAGAGGTGAAGGAGTAAACACTGGCGATTCAAACTCAAAGAAGGAAGGTGATGAGTTTTCTGAAGAATTGGTCTCCCCTTGAAGATGAGGACCTTGAAAAAAGGACTCAGATTCCTGAAATGTAACATCCATAAAAACAAAAAAAATTCGGCTGCCAGGGTGATAGCACTTGTTGCCCTTCTTATCTGGAGCATAACCAAGGAAAATACATTTAAGAGCCCTAGGATCTAACTTAGTTTGCGATGATGTTTATGAACATGAACAAAGACAACACACCCTAACACTCGTGGAGGAAGAATCTGCATAGTTGGAACAGAAGGGAAAAAAGAAGTTATTGAGTGAATGAAACTTACATTGTCAAGAACCCGAGTGGGTAAGCGGTTGATCAAGAATGCTGCAGTAAGAATGACATCTCCCCAATAGCATTTGGGTACATGTGTTTGAAACAGTAAGGCATGAGCAACTTGAAGAAGGTGACGATTCTTTTTTTCAGCAACCCCATTTTGTTGAGGGGTGTCTACACAAGTAAGTTCATGAATCATACCTTGACTTTGTATAAATTGGGAAAAACAATTATTAACATATTCAGTACCATTATCAGTCCTTAGTCTCTTGATTCTTTTACCAAATTGGGTCTCAATCATTTTATAAAATTGAAAGAATAGTTGTGGTACCTCAGACTTTTCACACATTAAGTAAACCCAAGTTACACGAGTGCAATCATCAATAAAAGAAACAGACCATTTATTACCAGAAGAATGAGGGACCTTAGAAGGACCCCAAACATCAGAATGAATAAGATCAAAAGGTTCAACACTTTTAGTAATACTAGAAGAAAAAGATACACGATTATGTTTAGCAAACTCACAAACATCACAATGAATAGACTCAACAGACTTAGATAAAAACAATGATGGAAATAAAGACTTGAGTAAACTAAATGGAGGATGTCCCAAGCGTTTATGATGAAGCCAAATCAGAGAATCATCAGTTGACTGGCCATGAGACAGCAAGATGTGATCCTTAACATTATTTGTAGAAGATTGTGACACCAGATAGTACAGCCCACCTTGCTCTTTAGCACCCCCAATCGTCTTCCTCGTGGCGAGATCCTGAAAAACACAGTGAGTAGAGAAGAAGGTTACAGTGCAATTCAAATCTTTTGTAATTTTATGAATAGAAAGAAGATTAGTAGAGAGTTTAGGGACATGAAGAGCATCTTTGAGATGCACGAAAGGCTTTAAATTTATGTTACTAGAACCCATAACTGATGTATGTGAGCCATCAGCTACGGCTATTGTATAAGTGCCAATGGTAAGGTTATAAGAAATAAAGAAGTCAGCACAACAAGTCATATGATCAGTAGCTCTAGAATCAATAACCCAAGAATGTTTGAAATCAGTACATGAAGAAAGAAAAGAATAAGTATTGGAACTCATACCAGTCATAGCCAAAGCACTAGTACCATATGGCTTACTCAGAGAATCAAGGATGGTCTTGAGCCGTTCCAACTCATCTTGACGAAATGCATGTTGGGTTTCATTAGGTGTAGGAGCTATATCAGAGGAAGTAAAATGAGCTTGACCACGCATCCTTGCCATCTTTTCTAAGACCTTTTGCTTTCCATGGAGACAAAAGCATAGATCCTTGATATGACCTGTCCTTCTACAATAAGAACACCAATGATCATCTTTCTTAGGTTTAGAATACGCACCATCAGAAAATTTTGTAAAAGAACTCCCTTGAGAAGAACCATATCTTTTTGTGGAAATCATAGCAGACCCATAAGTGGGTTTAGAAGCAACAACATGAGGTGATGACAGCATGGCAGACTTATCTAATGTGACGGAGTTCATCATAACTCCCCGACGAGTCTCCTCTCCCCGAACAATATTGAAGACAACAGAAAGGGATGGAAAAGTATCTTTGCCAAGTATCTGAACCCGAATAGGATCATACTCAGAATTCAACCCAACAAGGAAATAAAAAATACGCTCATTTTCCACCTCCTTGGCTAAGGCCGTAGCATCTGCAGTACATTGCATCTTCAAACTCTGAAATTGATCAAGCTCAGTCCAAAATTCCTTCATAATACCATAAAAAGCAGTCACAGATAAGGAATATTGTTTAGTAGAAAAGATTTTATTGCGCAATTCATAACGCACAGCCATATCCTGTTTCAAAGAGTAGGTTGAGCGGACAGTTTTCTAAATCTCCTTAGCAGAAGATAAAAACATACAGTGACGACCCACTTCAGGAGTCATCGAATTCCACAACCAACTCATGATAAGAGAATCCTCATTATCCCAGGCAGTTAAACTAGGATCAGTGGCAGCAGGAGCAGTGCCATCAAGATGAGCAATCTTATTGCGACTCTTGATGGTAGTACGAATAAGTTGAGACCACGACAAATAATTTGTTCCATCAAATCGATAACTCTGATGCAGACTTGGAAGATCATTGTGACCAAGAGGGGTCACCACAGATTGTGTAGAAGAGTTTGCAATAGTCGAGTTTCAGAATAAGCCTTAATGCAAAAAATAGGTCAGAAAAATAGCACCAAGAAGCCAAAAAACACACAAAGTATACCCAAACGTTGTCGGATTAGAGAGAAAATCACATATCCAGGTAGAGGAAGAAGAGACGAGCAGAGCGCTTTTGGTCGGAGCTGGAAACTCGCCGCCACGCGCCGGTGAAGTTGATGGTGCGCGGGATTCACGAACAGAGACAGTGACGGCGCATGAGAGCGCGTGCAGCGTCGGCCGGAGCTGGGCTTTTCACGGCGAGGTCGTCCGGAGGTTGCGGTCCTGTCTGTGGCTGATCGGAGTCCAAACGGTCACCGGAAAGTACTGTTCTAGTGATGAACAGTGTGGTTTGGGTCGTTTTTTGGAAGATGCGGTCGTCAATCGATTGTAAAATGTCCGCAAACTGATAGATCACAGAAAAAGGAGTCGAAAACAGGTCCTCTCGGTCCAAAAGGTCCCCGGAAAGTTTTCCGGTGGCGGCTAATGGCGACGAGAGGCGGAAAAAAGAAAGGTTTTTGTTTTAACGACGGTAATACTGGAAGCAGAGCCCTCAGAATCGAGAGCTCTGATACTAGGGGTGAAAGTGGGCTGGGATGGGCCAAGCTTTGCTCCGAAAAGCCCAAGCCTATGCAAAAAAATTTCAATTTGGCCTGGCCCAAGCCTTGTATGAGTCTAACTGTTAGCCTGACTTGGCCCGTTTATAGAAAAACAAATGGCCTGGCCTAGCTCATTAGCCTGGTAATTTTTAACTTCTAAGCAGAATCATGAATCACAACAAAACTCATACAATCTGCATTTAAGTCACTTTCAAAAGCAAAATGCTCAAACTAAATAACATATATTTCATCAGATTCAACAAACAAACAAATCCATACTATGTAAATTAAAATAACTACATGAATCCAACAAACACATCATGATGCTTATGCTGAGATGTTGGTTCTTCCTACAAAAGAAATAAAGTCAAATTTCTATTAAAATATACGAATATAATTAAGTTATAAATATTTGCAATTGATTAAATTTATATCTTTTATTTTTTATTCAACGCATATTTACTCTATTTTATTTTATTTAAAATAAATAGTACATAGGCCGGCCTGTAGACTAATGTGTCAGGCCTTGTGAAAGTAGGTCTACTACGACCTTTTTATTAAACAAGCTTTTTCAAGGCCCAAGCCCGGCCTATATTACGAAATATACTAGGTCAGGTGTGGCCTGACGTAGGCCGAGTCGTAGGCCTCTGTAGGCCGGCTCGACCCAGTTTCACCCTTATCTAATACCTACTTGAAAAAGAGTAATGAAATATATTATTTGAATTGTATGTAAAATGTACAAGGATTCTCTATTTAAAGAGATTACATGACCTAATGAGCTAAGCCTAATACAACAAATAAATAAATATTATTATTTACAATAATATATAATTTTGATTTTGTTTAAATTAGACTGGTCTTAACTTTAAATTAAAAAAATTGATCAAATTAAGTTGATTTTTTGGTTATATAGTCTCCATTTATGTTTTTATTATTGTGATTGTGAGTGGATTGGTTTAGTTTTGAAGAATCTTCTCACTTCAAGTTCTTCGGATTCTAGTCCTCTTATATACAGCCCATGTCCCATGTTAGTGTGCTAGTTTGAGAGTGACTTAGGAAAGTTTTAGTTTTTGCTTAGATTCTCGTGTAATTTGAAAGTACTGCACTCAATCCAATAAAAGCATAACAATAAATTGTTTAACTATACAGGCTATTTAATTAAAGTTATAATACTATTTAATAAAGAGGTAGGATCCTTTGATACCAGTGTCAAATTTAAAGTTTGACACCTCGTCTGAGAGCCTTTAGATCAAAAAATATCAACGACTCTGATTTGCAAGCAAGTGACACCATTGATCTTTTTTGATCTAACGGCTCTCAGATAAGGTGTCAAACTTTAAATTTGAAGTGTCAAATGATCCTACTCCTTTAATAAATTTGAAATCAAATCTTTTAAGGTTGTGTTTGGTTAAAGTACTTTTACAGCATAAATTATTTTCTAAGGTATTTAAAATATGACATCTGAGTGATAACAAGAGCTCTTGCTTCATTGAAATGCCCATGAAATTTCATCAACAAACATTCAAAAATGTGTTTCAGTTTGTAGATCCAAATTTGATCTTCAACTCCATGATCGGTGCTCTGAATTATGTGCTTGATTGCAAATTTGGGTACCCTTACAATTTGACATTAAACTAAACATTTCATTTATTTTTCGAAAGGGAAAGACTTCTTGTTGATAAGGACATTCTAATATTAAGCAAAATGGATTAGTGTTTTTCACAAAAATTTTTCTCTTCTCCCTCATATGGGGTCTACATATTTTTATGTGTATGTAAGAGATAAAATTTTCTCCTATAACATGAGAAACATTAATCCCTAAACATAAATCAAACTAACTAAAGAAAGTGAGTATCACCCCTTAAGCTAGCTCAAAGAATGAGAGTGTCCAAGGTTACAAAATCCCACATTAGTTGTCCATACAATTAATATAGAACTCCAAGTCTCATATCGTGCAAATGGGTCCTAGCATTCTACCATGTTCCGCAGCCCCAGCGCCTACATGAGCTGGCTTTGCGATAGTTTTTTACTAGTCCTAGATGAACACTGCAATGCCAGCGTTACCACTCGCGCCGCTTGATTGCAACTGGGAGGTATAGTGGAAAGCTCTGATACCATTTGATAAGAACCCTGTGACGCACCACCCCAAAAGCTAGCTCAAAAGGTGAAAATGCACAAGATCTTATAAATTCCACATTAGTTCCCTATTCAACTAATATAGAACTCTAAATCTCATAGCAAATGGGTCTAATAGTAAGATTCCATGTTCTTCATTATATATTAAAAGGGATTGCAAGAATATAGGAGCTAGCAATCACTAGTAAAGTGATTCTCAGAAATAGTGTTATTTTATGCAGTATTTTTTTTTTCCAATTCCTAATCTTTTATCCAGATAAGATACGTTTATTGTTCAGTTTACATGCTCCCATTTCATCTTACAATATGTTTGACAATCATCACTCACAATTATATCAGCAACCACAAATCGACTAGGTGATGCATGTAACTCACTGCATATGCAATGGTTGATGAATCATCAGTTGTGTGCCTGGCTTCTGGTTTATAGTTAGAAGCAAATTATGGAAAGTCCAAATACCAGTAGAAATTACCATGAGTTTATAAAGGAAATATAGCAGAAAATGAATGGAGATAGAAGCAGAGAGAGCGAGAAAATGAACTTTCTGATCATCATAGATTCAGCGCATTCAAAATAATCCTCACAATTAGTAAATTCTCTTTTATTCTTAGTTTGTGAAGATTTTTCTGAGTTAGTGAAATGAATTAGAGCAATCACTGCAATTTTAAGGACTGTAGTCCCTGGACCCTGCGTATAACAAGAGCTTTATAGTACCATACTGCTTTTTGTTCATCAAAAAGCAAGAAGACAATGAAAAATTTTATCCATATACATGAATCCTTTGTAGGTTCCCAGCCTTCAATAAATGGCTTACTTGACAGTACCATCTAACTATAAGCTGAGAAAAAAAAAAAAAAATTCAAAATTATTCTATTGAGTTTTGAACAAAAGAATAATTTATAAACGAAGACAAGTCCATAGCAGTCCTGAAATAACTAATTCAGAAAAAAAAGAAAAAAGAAGAAGAAGAGAAAATCATCTCCAAAGAGCTCTCTAATGATCCCATTGCAAACCCACAAGAGAAAACCCCATAAAGAAACCACAATATGAATTCCGGGATATAGAATATGACAACATTACTTGAAGAAGAGTATAACAATAATTTATAAGGACATGAAGTCTTAGATATAAGCAACAAAAGAGAGGTTGATATTTCTACTGCTACCGGTTAAAGTGAGAGAAGTTTGTGAAAATGAATATAAAGCTATTGAGCATGGTTCAACACTGAAAACATAATAGTATTAGTTGGATAAGAGAAGTAAAACAACCAAACAATAAGAGCAAAGCAAAAACCTAACATTAATCATACCTCTATTATGATTGAAGATTTTAATAAAGCAAATGGGAGCATGATTTTGACAGAGAATACATCTCACTAAGCAAAAAACAAAAAGGTATAATGTACTAAAAAATAAAGTTTTAGAATGAAGTATCAAATTAAAGGTTCTGTATTTCTGATGATACCAGTGGAATAGAGGAAGTTTGAGAAACTTAATTTTTACATTAAATGACTGGATAAACAAAATTGCCTACACTTTGGCTATCTGTTTCATCAATCACAGCCCCACAATTTTCCCACTCAATCTTTATCTATATTTGTGATAATTAAAGTCAATTACAGAACTTTAATATTTTTACAGACGCAGGGTCCCTGACCAATTTAAAAGGAAAAGAGCAGGGAGACAAGTAATTTAGTGCAAGGATAGATAATGCTTGGTCTGAGAAACAATTATAATCAGAAAATGAGCCTTGCATTCTTTTTTTTGCACTCAGGACAAAGCACCATATGCACTCTGCACTTGCCCACAAAAGAAAATTGCACTTCAGTACATTGGCATCCAGTAGCAATCCAGTTCAAAGTTCATCATCATTGAATTTCATTTGCCTTGCACAAATGCAATCTGCAAAAGACTTGTATAAAATTATTTACTGGAAAAATTTACTGATAGCTTTTTAGGAAATTGTAACATGCATATACAACCAATAATTTTGACCGAGTCCTGTACAAATACACTCATCTGGAGATGGTGCATTTACAAATAGATTAAAGTTGATTGGATAACTTAGCACTTTACCCTTTTAGGAATATTTCCTCCTCCAGTTGCACTTTCTCACCCTTTTAGGAATATTATCACCACTGTAGGTTGCATAATATTAATATTTTAGACAGACAAAAGACATTTTAGTACGTTTAAAATGATTGTAAGAGGTTTAAACAGCTGCATTGGACTAAGTGGTACGATTGTCATTTGTCACCTGTTTGGCTCAAGCCAATATCTCCAAGCAGAAAAAATTAAATTAGGAGAAGGAAAGTTCCATATCTGATGTGTATCATTGTATCTGTCTTTTGAAAGTTTGAGGCCCTATGCTTGAGGACCCTGATCAAGAATTCCATATTTTCTAGGCTTCAAGGAAATTTTAGTTGAATAATATCTTACAAGATATCAGCAACACAGCCTGCTCCAACATTCACTAATGGCTTCTCGAACTTTCTTAGGTTTGCAGAGCTGTTGAACAACTATGGCCCAAGTAGAAGCTTTTGGCAGCAAAAATTTATGAAGCATCACTTCTATAATTTTGGAAGCACCTACTGTTTTCTGCCGCTTAACTAACCGTACTACAAGCTCATCTAGAAACTCCCTCCCATCTTGAGGTGGGTTCATATTTTCTCTTAAAGTTTTCAAGAAAATATCGCAAGTAATAAAATCAGGGTCACAACCTTGATCTAGCATAATATTTAGAATTTCAATAGCACGGGAGATACTATTCTTCTGCATGCAGAAAGCATTTATGAGTATGTTATATGTAATCACATCTGGTTGTGACTCCGGCTCCTGACAAAGCATCTGATGGAAAAGTTTCAGGCCCTGTTCTACTAAGTGAGCATTACAAAAGCCATGAATCATTGAACTGTAAGCCACAACATCTAATTTAATTCCTCTACTCAGCATTTGCTTCCATACCATTAAGGCCTCTGTAAGCTTCCCATCCTTGCATAAGCCATTAATGAGTATACTGTAACAAACCTCATTATGATTACAATTGTTATTTGCCATCTCTTTCCAAACAAGAAGAGCTTCATGGCTATTGCCTGCTTCAAAGAAACCCCTCATTAGGGAGCTATAAGTGAAAGAATTGGGCAGGTAACCTTTATTCTTCATGTCAAATAGGACCTCCCTTGCTTCATCTGGTTTCCCTTCTCGGCAAAGACCATCTATAAGAGCACTATACACTACAGTATTAGGTTCACATCCTTTTTCAACCATTTCATTCCACAATTTCATTGCATGTTTGAATTTTCCTTCCTTGAACAGGCCACTAATAAGGGATGAGTAAATATACTTATTCCCACGATGACCTCTCTCTTCCAAGGAGATCAACACCCGAGCTCCATCAGAAGCTCTACCTTGCTTAACAAACCCATTAATGAGTGTTCCATAAGTAACATCATTAGGCATGCATTTTTTCAACACCATTTGATTCAAGAGACTCACCGCCTTGTCCAACTTACCCTTGAGACACAATCCATGAAGAAGGGAATTATATGTCACTTCATTAGGGACACAACCCTTAAGAAACATATTATCAACAAGCTTGGCTGCACGGACCAAGTCACCCTTCTTACACAATGCACTGATCAACACATTAAACGCAACAGGGTTAGGGAAGGTGCCTTCAATCTGCATCTCATCCAATAAAGAAACAGCCTCATCAATTCTACCCTCCTTGCACAACCCATGCATCAGTGTAGAGTATGTATAAGTATCAGGAGCACAATTCCTAAGAGGGATCCCTCTGAAAACTTCCACAGCCTGATCAACCAAACCAAGCTTACACAAGGCCTTGATTACCAAGTTGAAAGTGAGTGAATTTGGATGTATGTTAAAACTCTTGGATGCAGTAACATGAGAATAAAACTCCAAAGCACGATTGAAAAGACCCTCTTGAATAATCACATTGAGAACAGAATTGAATGATTTCACAGTTAGCCTACATTGAAAATCAGACCCCATTCTGTGAAACAAGTCCAGAGCTTTTTCAGGCAAATGGGCTTTCCCATAAGCTTTGAACATAACAATGAAATTCTTTTCGATAAAAACTCTCCTTTCGCGCTTCATTTGATACAGGACCTCTTCCAAGGACCCGAAATCAAAGGAAGTGGCGTAATTCTCAATGAGGGAATAGAAAGTTAAATCACCCAATTTGTAAGAACCCATTTTGGTACCTGGTTTGAAGATTTCAGCTGAAACTGGAGGAAGAGGTTCATGGGGTTGGTTGGAAGAAGAGTAAGAGTAATAGGGAAGTGTTTGGGTTTGGGAGAAACCCAGATGAAGATGTGTTCGCAGTGAGTGTGCGAGGAGCTTTGTGTGAGATGTTGAACACTTTGGCATGACATGAATCAACCAAAAGGAAAGTTTAGGGTTTGGTTTGGTTAAGGAAATGGTTTATGTTTGAGGTTATAGCAGCCACTGATAATGTTTTTGTAGTCTTGTCGGAGATGGAGACGATGGAAGTTGCATAGTTCAGTGCTTATATAACGCATTTTTTATCTTTTACGAGTGAAAAGTATGATTTTTTAATATAAATAAGAGATTAATCTTTCAGTAATCTCTACAAATTTATGGTATCCATATTTATTTTTTTCGCTTTTTCTTGCGGCAGATAAATTATATGCAGTAAGTTCAATACGACATTATTTTGGAGCGAAAATTATGATATTTTGGTAATTTAAATTTATTTCAAGATTATAATAGTCTTTATATTTATAATTTTTTAAAATTTAAAAACCAAAACGACGTCGTTTTGAAAATAAATGCAGATAACTTATCTGCTTTAACTGCAGAAATATTTTTCCGGTTCACTTTTTCTGCAGTTACTGCAGATAAGTTACCTGCAGTAAGCCCAATATGACGTCGTTTTGGGGCGAAAATCGTAGTATTTTTGTAATTTTAATTTATTTCATGGTTATAATAGTCTTTATATTTATAATTTTTTAAGATTTCAATATCAAAACAACATTGTTTTAGGAATTAATACAGATAACTTATCTGCATTAACTGTAGAAACATTTTTCCCTTATAAGTAGTACATAATTATAATAATAAAGTATTTTTTTCTTTCCTTAAACATTGTCAATTGACATAATGGAAAAAAAAAATAATTTTATCATTATAACTATATACTATTTGTAATACATAATTATAATAAACTGTTGCATTGAATACTCAATGTTATTAAGTGCAACCACTATACTGAAAATACTCTTTCATATGGATTTACATGCCCTATATACTTTTACATAAGATAAAAACACTAAACCTTATAAAAGAAAATTATAATATGAACGGGCTTTTTGACCCTTACAATCCTTAATTAATAATTAATTATCAATTTGACCTTCATTTGAAACTAATTCGAAAATTTAACCCCCTCAAAAAACATAACACCAATCTGTCCCTGTTTGACCGTTGACCACCAAGCTTACCCGGGTACACCCCTACCTACCCGGGTATTTTTTGAAATATTTTTCCTACCCGGGTAGAGTTCTTGAATCTGGGAAAATGGTTGAATTAGTTACCCGGGTAAGGAGGGGTGTACCCGGGTAAATATCGACCAGAAACCCCAATATCAATGGGTTTCGGTCATTGTTGCTAGGTTTAGGTTTTGTGCCCCCAAATCTCTCTCCCTTGACCTCTCTATTCCGAAACATCACACATATATTTCATCTCATCATTTTAGAAAGCTTAATCTTGGTAAGACATTGGGATTACACCTCCACACTCCCATTTTGTGCTAAAAAATCCGAACCAACCTCCAAACCCAAAACCTAGATCTAATTTGCGTGTGAAATATGAGTTCAAGTCCAAACATGGTTCCTATAGTTATTTACTACAATGGAAGACATTTTGAAGGTCCGAACGGTGTCAGATTTGAAGGAAAAACAAAAATGATGAAAATCAAACTAGGCACTACATGCAATGAATTGAAGGAGAGAATTCTCCAAAAATTGGGGTTAAAAGGCATACAATCCATCCACCGCATGATTGCCAGGTTAGAGAGTGTAGTGGATATGGATACAATATACTATATTGGTAACGATATCAATGATGATGAAGATGTGGAGTTCGTAACAGATGCGTTTGTTGGATGGAAATTATTAAAATATATTGAGATATATGTTGAATTTGATGCTGGTCAGTCTTCATCTTTACCGGTGCATACAACCACTACTGCACACTGTACTGGTCAAGAAGATACAGTTGTACAATCTTCCGCACCTCCTCAAGTAGCATTGGATGAGGATGAAGAGGATGAAGATGAGGAGTATGTGGACAGCGAAGATGAGGGAGAACCTGAAAGTGCTATCCCACAAGGTGATTCGTCAGACACTAACGTGGACGAAAATTTTGATGCTGACACGAGCGCGGTAAGTCTGGGTTCCCCAACCTTGTCACCACTTCATGTTGACCCAGTCAGTAGTGGTAAGTTATTAATTTTGGACATTTGGTTTAGACAATTTATTATTTGTGGTGGTATTCATTCAGACAAATGAGAGTTGATCTTTCGATGCAGGGACTGCGGTGGAGCCTTTCTGGAATGAAAGCCAACATTATTCATTCATTAATTGGGCGCACCCTAATGACGAGTTGGAGATCCTATATGGGGATGATGACTTGCACGGAGGTTGGAAGTTAGGAGATCCGTTATTTGTGCAACAAGAATTTGGCTCCAAACCTGAAATGCAACATGCTGTTAAAATACATTGTATGAAAGGGCGCAGGACAACCATAGTCAAAAAAAGCGACGAGTCAAGATTTGTTATAAAGTGTAAAAACCATGCTGAGGGTTGTTCCTGGTATATGAGGGCAATCAAGCCGAAGAAGGGAGCTGATTGGGTGGTCCGTAAATGGGGTCAAGATCACACATGCCTCAATCAGGGCCTATCACAGGATCATCGACAGTTGGATTCAGATGTCATTTGTGCGGCTATAATGAGTATGTATTCTACCGTGTACTTAATTAAGCTTCTTATTGAATGCATGATAATATGGTTTTTTTTTTTTTTACAGATATGTTAAAGGAAGATCCATCTACAAAACCAGTTCTGATACAAGAGAGAATACAGGGAATGTATGGATACAACATAACGTATAGGAAGGCCTGGAAGGCAAAAATGAAGGCCATTATTAAGTTGTATGGTGACTGGGAGAAGTCATACGGTTTCTTGCCCAATTGGCTGACGTATATGACGTAGGTGAATGTGGGTTCTGTGTTCAAGCTTGATACAAATCAATGTTTTGACGAACGTCGGGTTTATACAGACAGGGCCATATTTCACAGGGTTTTTCGGACATTTCACCAATGCATTGAAGCATTCAAATACTGCAAGCCTATAATTCAAATTGACGGCACTCATCTGTATGGGAAGTACAGAGGAACTCTCTTGATTGCAACATCTCAAGATGGAGATGGATATCTGCTCCCTATTGCCTTTGTTGTTGTTCCTCCAGGTGAGAGGTTGGAAGATTGGTCCTGGTTTCTTAGCCTTTTACGCTTCCATGTCACACATAGGCACGAAATTTGTCTAATCTCCGATCGTCATGGAAGCATCATAAGGGCGGTGAAAGATCACGCTGGGTGGTAGCCTCCATATGCTTATCATGTATTTTGTCTACGTCACATCGCAAGCAACTTCAATACCCGCTTTAGGAATGTGGAATTGAAGAAAACGTTGATGAAATTAGGTACTGTACGGTTTAATTACTCATGTTTATGTTTTTAAATCGTAATTAACCAATTGTATATGTGATGATTGATCTGCAGGGTACACATGTTCAAAGATAAACTTCGACATTAGATACAAGGAATTTATCGACAACAATCCTGAAGTTGCTTCATGGTTGGATGCTATTCCGAAAGAGCAATGGTGCAGATCGTATGATGAGGCAGGACGTAGGTTTGGTCATATGACAACCAATCTATCTGAGTGTCTGAATAAGGTGCTTCGTGGAGCACGTAATCTGCCGATAACTGCATTGGTGAAGATACATTCAGTAGACTCGTTGAGTATTTCGTCAATAGACGTGAAGCGATTGAAAAAGATATCTCACAAGGATGGATAATTTCAAAGAAGGTTGAGGCAGCTTTGGAAAAAAATGATGAATTGGCCGGCACTTATCGTGTAAGGATATATGATAGTGAACTGTTATTGTTTGAGGTTGAGGATGTCTACAATCAATCTACACACGAGGTTGGTGACATTATGAGAGTGGACTTAATCAATCGTACATGTCAGTGTGGTAGGTTTACGGCAAGGAGGTATCCGTGCAACCATGTATTAGCAGTTTGCAAGGCAACCAAGTTAAACCATTATGATTATGTGGATCAAATTTTAAAAATCCCAACCATTGCTAAAGTATATGCTGCACACTGGTTTCTTATTGGAAATGAATTGTTGATTCCACATGTTATTGAACCTATTCTAATTTCGGATGCAAGGTTGGTACGTGCAAAAGGAAGACCAAAGTCATCAAGGATTCAGAATGAGATGGATTGGGTTGAGTCTCAACCCTCGAGCAGTCAGAGCAGATGTAAGCATTGCAAGCAAGTTGGACATAACATTCGTACATGTCCTTTGAGGCTAAGACAAGCGTGATTATGTTTCCATGTTGTACTTTGTTTTGTAATGACATACGGTTTACGTATTGTCTTTTCCTATTGACTTGTATTGTTGTGTATTGTTTATGGTACCATAAACCCTATCTTGTATTATTTATGTATTGTGTTGCATAACATACATTGTAGACAACCGTTATGTTAAGCATTCAACTCGTTTCGTATTACACAATGTCTGAATGTATACCATACCCATTTACCCCGTCCCTGAGTCAGTTAAGGTTATGGTATACCATAACAATCAAAAAAATACACAAAAACCTGGTGGACCAGCTGTTGTTGCTGCAAAACCAACTGGTCTACCCGGGTAACATGTAATGGTATACCCGGGTACACCAGTACGTGTTACCCGGGTAGACCAGTTGGTTTTGTTGCAACAGCAGCTGGTCCACCTGGTTTTTGTGTAGTTTTTTGATTGATTTCGAAGGTCAACATATAGTATGACTTGGGGGTGGATTCAGTTCGTAAATATGGGATGCCGGAGGCACGATGTGCGCTAAACTTATTCCAAATTTGCGAAATATCAAATTGAACATTCAAGCCATTTCAAAGACACAATTGAACATTCAAACCATTGAACATCGAACTACAAGTACATATTTCAAAATGTAGATAAATAACCTAATTGTACCAAAATAAGTCATGAAATACATCCAAAATGGGCTGCCTAAACCCAATACACCCTGCTAGTTTACCAAAATACATCCACTACTGGCTAAACCCTATCATATGAAACCCTATCTACTGGAATCCGATTGCGTGTCCTCCCCATTCTCATCATCCTCCTCCACATCATCATCGTCCTCAGCATCAGCCTCCTCATCACCCTTCCTGTAGCCAGCCTCCAAGCGTGTAACCCTTGTGTCCAAGCTCTCAACCCATGTGTCAATCTGGTTCTGCCACTTGCTTGTGCTCTGTCTATATCCTCTAAAATCAGTAGTCAATGAGTCAAGGCCTACTGTCAGACTATACATGGATGCCATGACATGATCAAGGGTCCATCCACCCTCAGGAGCTGTCCATCCACCTTCAAGACATGGAGGGGATGGTGGTCGCCGACTGCGGGTGGGACGTGTCCGTCCGTCATCAAAAAGAGCAGCGCCATCATCATCGTCATCAAGGCCTGCGTCATAAGTCATGAAAATGGACATATTATAATTAAGAACCGAAAAAACAAACCAACAGTAATGCATAAACCCTAAACCCAAAAGACATCACCTGCAGGTGCATCCTCCATCTCAGCATCGTGGTGGACTGGGATCTCAGGTGGTTCTGGTGCCTTCTTCCAGTACCAGGGACCCGCTCTGCTCCGCATGATCCCACACTACTTCAGGAGCCTCTCACCAAATATAGCATTCCACCCTGTGACGGTTTTCAAGGTCTCTGTTGCCATGGGCACACCAAATCTATGCATAATCTTCTGCACCAGGAATGCAAAAGGCAATTCAACCTTCTTTGACTTGGCAGCCTTCTACATCAGTATGCATATATAATGCCTCCAGTTCACCTACTGACGGTGAAGGAAGGCCCACAAGATGACAAAGTCTCCTTCCAGCACCTTCGAATGATTATGCGGGCGTTGGAAAATAATATGTGTCACCACATAATGGAGAATGCGAGCAGACACCGACATGTTGCTCACAGGATAATGAGAAAAATGTCCGGCCTCAGCGTCTGTCCTCCTAGTCTTTGTAACAGTGGCCTCCCTGTCATAATCACCAAAGATATGATGGCTAAAGGGCTGCTCCTGTGACACCATCAAAATCAAACCCCAGTAGCTCTATCCATATAGGAGCAGTCATGATGATATCAATCTCGCAGACACGGGAAGTCAGCTCGCCATGCGCATAGCCAAGGTTCTGGTAGAAGGCTCTCACCATCACCTCCGAGTATGGGTACCGCATCTCCGCAAGCACAATTAAACGTGTCTCCTCAAGTAGCGGCACAATGTCAAAACGCTCCAAGTTGAAGAAGGCCGAATCCAGTGATTTCGGCTCGTAAATCTTCCTGCTCATGAAATACTTCACAAACGTCTCATGGGCAGCTATGTCATCATCAAACAAATAACTGAACGTCAAGTCCGGAGGCTGACTCACACCAGCCTGAAGCTGAGAGGATGACGACCCATCGTGTCAACGCTTGTTCTTCGCTCATTTTCCCCCACCGGCGGCTTTGAAACACGTCTAGCACTCATTGTGTCACACAATTAAACTAAAAAAAAGCCAAAATCAGAAACATACAGGTTAGGGTTAGGGTTAGGGTAAGGGTATCACATACAAATTGATAAAATTATTCGGTCAGAATCAAATGATATAAACGAAAATAAAAGGAATTCATAAGATTTCAAATGAGGGAGGGATATATTTCATCAATCAGAACAAAATTGATAAAAACGAAAAAAAAGGAACCTTGGATTGATTTCAATCTGTAAAAGGAAGAGAGGTTCACACGTCCGCGAACTGATGATCATAAACAAGACGAATTTGTGCAAGATTATGCCTGAAAATCGCGCAACCAACACACCTCCAACAGCTCTACTCGGGTACCCCTTTGTGGGTTTTCCAAATGATGGGGGCTGCTGGGTTATAAAAAACCCTACCGTCGATATTTACCCGGGTACACCCCTCCCTGCCCGGGTAACTAATTCAACCATTTTTCCAGATTCAAGAACTCTACCCGGGTACACCCCTCCCTACCCGGGTAGGAAAAGTATTTCAAAAAATACTCGGGTAGGGAGGGGTGTACCCGGGTAGACTTGGTGGTCAACGGTCAAACAGGGACAGATTGGTGTTATGTTTTTTGAGGGGGTTAAATTTTCGAATTAGTTTCAAATGAAGATCAAATTAGTAATTAATTATTAATTAAGGGTTATAAGGGTCAAAAAACCCGTATGAGCGTGTTCTAATAAAGGAAACTGATTTACCTAAACTTTTTTCATAATAGATTACATCTTTGTAATATATGTTAGAGTAAAACTCATTTTTTGTTTTTTTCATAATTAATATCAATTTTGTTCCTCGGGTTTTATTTTATTAATTTAATTTCTTAAATTTTAAACCTTTGATAATATCATCCCTTCATTTAGTAAATGGACGCAAGAATAAGTTTGTCAGAGATTTGAAGTTTGAGGGATTCATTGATGGAAATCAATCAATAAGAGATTAAATTGATAAAATATATATTTGTATGAAAATTGAGCTTTACTCATGAATCAGAAAAAAACATAAAAATAAAATAGAACCTTGGTGTATCAAGTCTAAATTTGTATTGTGATCTGATTAAGCAAAATGAACAGAATCTAAATCCAAGAATATTAATAGGCGGATTTATTTTATTTTTGCCACTGAAAATTAAGCAAGCATTCGTGATTCATCTTAGTAGCTTAATCAATTTTTATTGCTAGAACTTTTACAATTTTACTATTCAGAGAAAAAAAAAAACTTCTGTGGTGTTGAAAATACTATCTTTCTTATACCAAAAAAAAATAAAAAATACTAGCTTTCCAATTTGTTTCTAGTTGTAGGCTGTGACATTTTTGGTATCAATATCAAGTAGCAACAATTTGTTTATGATGCAGGAAGAACAATTCTAAGCAAGGTTAATCATGCATGAAGCTCAATATTGATAATAGCAACCCTTTCCATCAAACCTTAATTTATTTTCAGTTACATCTGCATATTTGTTCATTGCTAATTGTAGCACAATAGTGTCTAAGGCCCTTCATTCTTGATGGTCTCTGTGTGGTTAACTTTAATGGGTTGCAGCTTTTCTTGTTGATGAGCCATATCATAAGTAGCATGGAGGCCAAAGAAAAAATAGTAGATCAGCATTATTACTGTGCATACTCCAAATCTTATGAAGGCTTCAGAACCCAAAGATCCCATAAGGAAGATATTTGTTGCAATTGACAAAGATGGCAACCAAGGAACAAGTGGAACTCCCCAAACTCTTGGCATCCTTTGCTGAGTCAAAAATAGTGACATCCCTAGAGTGGCCAAGAACCAAACAGGAACTGCTATGGTGTATCCAAGCCAACCATTAGGCCTCAGCCCCCAGTAAGCTGAAATTCCCATTGAGGAACCAATAATGAGCAACAACAAGACAACTAGCTTTAACAAGTTCTCTCTTGATGTGACTCCTGAGACATAGTACCTTCTTACCAGAAGGGCAACAGATATCATCATGAAGACAAAGAGTGTGCTTACTGATATCAAGCTTGATAACACATCCAAGCTTGAGAAAAAAGCTATGCAAGCACTTGGAATGGTAATCAAGAGTGTTGCATTTATAGGGGTTCCTGTCTTAGGGTGAACAAGAGCAAACCATGGGGGGAGCATGTGGGAACGTGCAATGTGAGTAATATAACGTGCCTGTCCCAAACTTCCTACCAGAAGAACTGTGGTCATCCCCTTCAGTGCACCAAAAGCTACTACATACTTTGCCCACTTCATTCCTACTTTCTCAAATGCAACTGAAAAAGCTGCATCTGTATCTATGTCTGTGTATTTCTGCATCATGCTCAATGAGAGTGCCATCAAGCAATATATCACTGTGATTATGGACATTGATCCAATCAAGCCTATTGGTATGTCCCTTGATGGCTTTTTGGTTTCTTCAGCCATGGTTGCAATACTATCAAATCCACCATATGCAAAATAAAGAATTGCTGCAGCTTGAAACACACCCTGAGCCCCATGAGGTAAAAATGGTGTCAAATTTGATGTATTGGCATGAGCAAACCCTGCAATAATCACAAATAAAATTACAGTTGTGTTGATTGCAGATGCTATCCAATTGAGAGTTGAGGTTTTTCTTGTGCTGATCATTGCAATTGTTGCAGCAATTGCCAAAACCCCAACAGCTATAGGATCCAGCAAGTTGTATCCATCTTTGAGATCTGTCTTGATGAGTAGTGAATTCTTGGGAAGATTCAAAAGGTTTGTGAAGTAAGAAGTCCATGATCTGGCCACTGCAGCATTCCCAAGAATGCATTCAAGAAATATGTTCCCAGCTGTTATGAAAGCAGCAAAGTCTCCTAACTCAATTCTTAGATAAGCAAATGATCCACCTGCAGCTGGGACTTCTACAGCAAATTCTGTGTAGCAGAAAACAGAAAGCATTGCTGAAAAGCCTGAAGCAACATAGGATAAGACAATAGCTGCTCCAGCATGGTTATGTGCTTCTTGACCAGTGAGCACAAAGATTCCTGCTCCAATCACTGCACCAAATCCCAACCAGATGAGGTCCCACCAGTTGAGGCAACGTTTCATTTCATTCTCACTTTGTTTCCTGAGTTCCACTGTCTCAGTGGCATCATCTGATCTACTCAGAAGACGATCCTTGAACCTAATCCATGTTTGTGAAAGAGCAGAAACATAGTTGTTCCAGCTTTGAAAAGACTCCTCTGGCAAGAAATCTTGTTTGCTCCATCTCCAATAGCTTTTTTGTGGTTCAGGGTCATCCATGCCTCTAGTGGAAGCCATTCAAAAAATTGTTTTTTTCCTGAAGCTTTTAAGTAATTTGGAAATGCAGATGACTGAGAAAAATAAGCAGATTGCTTTAAAGAAAAGAAAGGATCCTTCCAAGTCTCTTACATTATTTTGTCAGTTGGTGTGGAATTTACATGCTATTATGAAGAAAGCTTTCTCATCAACTGCCTTTTAGTGTGCATTTAATAGGTGGGCATCTTGACATGATATATAAGTGCGTGTTGCTATGCTTATGTAAGATATTATGGAGCTGAATTTTACATATTATTTTTTAACAAAAACTTACTGATATATGCTAACGCGTGTGTCAGTCCTTACGAAAAAGGGATAAGTTACAGATATGGTTTCTTTTAGAATCACTTATATTCACGTGGTTTTTTTTTTATCACATATGGTCATGTGGTTTGTAAAAAATAAAAATCCACAGGGACATATATGATAAAAAACATATACTTTTGCAAACCACAGGAGTATATGTGATAAAAAAAATCACACGGACATAGATATTCTAGAATAAATCACAGAGACATTAGTGAATTTTTTCTTAAAAAAAAATGCAAAATAAAAAGAAAGTTGTTGCCAAAAAGCCTTGGCTGGTACATCCAGAATAACAGAAGTTCACATTAAAATTTGTGAAAGTGTAAGATAATAGAATCTTGGATGGAGTATATGCTATTGGAGTATCACGTAAAAAGAGTGAAAATGTCATCATAAAATACTAGTTAGGATTATTAAATGATGGTAGCTCAGTTGGCACATAAAAGCTGAGTAGGCACATGAAAGCTGAGTAGGTGGAGATAAAAGAATGTGTTCGATATTCTTTGTGCTATTTTTTAGAAGGGTTTAAAACCTTAATCCGGAAGAAGATTCTCGCCATGTTGTTACACAAATGAACAGTCAAGGCACGCATCTCTTTGGAAAAACAACTGAAGTTGTCACATTCACATATCCTCAATTTTCATCCTGATAAGGACTTTAACATGTCGAGGTCAGAGAAGACTATAGATGCTGCCAATGCACGTGATGTCCATTGCGCCCTACTAATTTGAATATTCTGTTGGATCTTATCATTCATTACTCTATCCGTCTTAGACAGCATTTGAGGTAGGTTTGCTCAAGTCAGCATCATTGTAAATCACCTCTGGTTCGTCTTTGTATACTAGCAACACTTTCAAAAGAGAAGCCAATATATTACTTAACCAAACCGAACCGAAATTTTATCAATCAGTTTTGAGAACCAAATTGGTTTTATTAAACCACTTTAAAAATTAAACCGAACCAAAAGATAAGATATGGGACAATGACCATATTGTTACCTTTTAGGCAAAAATTTACTGGATTGTCAGGTCAAATTTTTTTTTTTGTCAAGATGTCATGTTACAATCTGGCTGATCTGACAAGCGAGAATGGACTGGACACGTGACAGCGTCTGAATGGTTTACCATTCTAGCTGAGTAGCCCAACGAGAATGACATAATGATGACACGTGACAAAAGTACAGGCATTCTCTATAAAAGTACAGGATGTCTGTACTTTTGTCACGTGTCAGCATTCTGTCATTCTCGCTGAGCTGCTCAGCTAAAATGGTGGACCATTCAGATGCTGCCACGTGTCCAGTCCATTCTCGTTTGTCAGATCAGTGGAATTGTGACGTGATATTTTGACAAAATTTTTTTCTAGCATGACAATCCGGTAAATTTTTATTAAAAGGATGTGAGTTTGGTCAATGTGTCGTAAGATCTTATAACCTATTTTAGTAGATAATAAATATTTAAAGATTCGTGTTGTCTTTACTTTATGTCCTATACTTAATGCTATTTGAGAAATCAAATAAAATATAATTTTTTTATGATATTGTAACTTATTTTTAAGTAGTTCAAACGCATTCTCGGTTTCTTAGGACATCTTTATATATCTCAGTTAGACGACAAAATGTGTCACTAAGTCTGTGTTGAAATTTCTTACTTTGAAGAGTGAGCCTTGGCCTCAAGAAAAATCTGGCGCATACATCCAATCAGATAAGGGGGCCTGTTTCCAAGCAAGACTTTAGTTGTAGGAACAGGGATCAAAGTGTCATGTTTGACAAAATTTTTATCTAAATATTACGTTAATAATAATTTTTATCAGACTGTCAGGTCACGTAATTCACTATGATTAATAGCGAATTATGTTTATTAATAATTTCGTGACACGTGATCAAATATATTTTCCAGAAATCATGCAGAATCAAAAGTCAAATGATTCTCCAATAGCTAATCAGATTCATGACATTTTCCTCATCCAAGAAGCACGGGGTTGAGTATTGTTAATCAAAAAAATTTGATGTTCGGTATTTTTGTGATTTATTGAAAAGCTTATACAAATAAATTATAGAGTCAAATTTGGCTGCTAAAGATTCCAAAAGCAAAGAGCATGCTCGGAGAATATAAATTATTTTGGGTAATGGCTTTTTATACCATAAAAGTTGTTTTCACTCAAAGTTGCTTTCTATAAGTTAAATCGTCAACATTTCCATTGTGTATTTCAAATTATTTTAAAAGTTTAGGTAGATAAATACATGTTGGCTGTCAAGCAAATAACATATTTAAATCATTTTTTTTTTATCTTTTTGGTAATCTAATATATAAAAGTGACACATTTTATATAATCCAAACAAAATTATTTCTTAAAATTGTTTATAAGTTAACATTTTCAAACATAAATTAACATTCATATAATTGTCTTCTTAAAAATCAATTATGCATATTAATAATTTTTAACTATTTTTTTTCATAATTTATCCAATCACAAAGAAAGCATCATTGTCTTAAATTCCCCCCAACTTCATCAAAAAAGACTGAGCACAATCATAGATAATTTTGAAATCATGATATTAACAAAATTGCAATATTTAACCGACAAAAAGTAGCTAAAAATGATAAGTAAACTTGAAGTCAGCAATTCAAAATGGCACATCCCCCCAGTTATATGATTAGAGGGAGGAAAATGATACTTAAATACTACTAGAGCAATGATAGAGCCTCTAGCAAGTTGACTTCTCTGAAGACAGCCATTCTTGTGCTGCCAACAAATCAGGAAGAACAACTGCACCAGATTTCCTCCATTCCACAGCATCTGGTGTCTTAAATCTATCCAACAATAGTGCATGCATCCCTATGCTCTTAGCTGGCTCATAGTCTTTGCGCATGCTATCCCCTATATGTAGAACTTCTTCAGGTGCAATATTTCCAGCCCTCTCAAGTGCAATCTCATAAATTTTTGGGTTTGGCTTCTCAACACCTTCAAGGCCAGAAAATACACCAAAGTCCCACTCAGATCCCTGCATGCATCATCATCAAACATCATAACAATCAGACATTCTTGTCTCTGGGGCATAAGTGCAGAGGCATGACTTAATATACTCATATCATAAATGTACAGGAGATCAAAGATGCTTGTAGTGATTAGTGAATATTAGTGCTGAATAGACTACAGTTCAACATGATTTTTTTTTTTTTTCCAAGTGTGATTCAATGAGTCAGGGATTCATTGAAATTCATAGATCATTAATCAATAACAACATTGTGTTTCAAAATGGAAGTGCACCGTTCTCTCTTAACATTGTCATTGTGTGCTTGCATGCACAACTCTATGCTGGTACTCACGGATGTTTCTGGATGTGATATAATGCAACTTTGTAGTTAAGTACTTAATTGGCCTCTGTAGCAATGCAAAATGTTAATTTATCATTTACACTTATATATAAGTCTGATAGCAAATTTTTGGAAAATCATAAGAAGTTTACCTCGTTTAAACCCAAAGCTGGAAGAATCACATCTTTATATCGATACTCAGCATTGCTCACAATGCCAACTTTGAGACCATTTCCACGAAGCCAACTAAGAAATGGTTGGGAGTCTGGAAAGACAGTATACGGAGCAGATGAACCAAAGGATGAATATATGCGTCTGAAAATTTTCTCAAATGTCTCCTCATCATACTCATATCCAGCCTGCCAGAAAAACAAAACTCTCCTTCATAAATCTGTAATTCACTGCTTGATTTTGATAGCTTATAATACAACTAAACACAAATGGGGGGGGGGGGGGGGGGGGGGGGGGGGGGGGGGAGGGGGGGGGTGGGGGGTGTGTGTGTGGGTGGGGGGGGGGGGGGGGGGGGGGGGGGGGTGTTTAACATGTGTTGGTTCTGTGCATTCATTGTTGCACAAGATAAATTTAGAACCAAACTAAATAATTAAATATGCTACCTTTCCTCGTCGTGTGCCCATGTAAATACCAACTTAGCTATCTTGATAAGTAATAAACTCACTGTAATGACTTTGACAGATATCTTACCCTGACAAAAGAATCTCGCACACAAGTTTTCCACCACACAATGTTTGGCATTTTGGCAGCATACCCAAAACATGGATACTTCCTTGCCATGTCCTTGTATGCCAGCTTAAAGCCCTCATGCATACGCTTGTAGTCTGGGCATGGAAGGCCAACTGCTTTGGCTGCCATGCAATAATAGTCACCAAGCTCCCCTTTGTAAGCCATTAGGGTACCAGTAACATCTATAGTGACACAGCGTAGTTTAGCCAATATTGACATGGTAGCACAAATTAAGAAGCACACCCTTTGTTGGCTAAGTGACTGTTTAGAAGAATTTCCAGTATAGCAATGCCAATATAAATTTCAAGGAACCAACTAATGGGGTAAAGTATTGAACTCCTTCAACATTGATGCTAAAGCCTGCATATGCAATTCCAAAATTAGCTGGTTAAGTTTAAAAGAAATTTTGATTATAAAAGAGCTTACATGATGATATGGCTTCGTAAATTGTTTGGCAATAAGTAAAAAGGAGGGGCAAGGGCAAGGGGAAGGATGCTTAATATTGGTGTTTTAAATGATATTATGGCACAAAATAGAACTTTTAAAATAAACATTAAACTTGTGATCTACTAGACAGTCATGGATACATGCAAGCAGAAAACAAAAAGAAATGAATTCTATAGGCTACAAGAGATTATAAAGTGCACATACTGGCACCAAACACTTGCTCTGAGAGGAAAAAAAACCATTTAAATTACACTGAACATTATAAACAAATAAGAAAGTTTTGAAGTTACACCAATACTATCCTGAAAGATGCTATTTCCATTCATGCACAGCAAAATTATTCCAATAACTCTATTCTATGTACAAAGACTATTTTACATATGAAGAAAATATAAGGAAACCACTCCACCAGAATTGTATTGTAACATAGTTCAGAATACAAAAGGAACATATAGATTAAGAGATATTAAAATGGTCTTGAATTGGAACCTTATTGTAGGTTTAAATGATTTAGGATATCCAATGGTTTGCTAACATTGTAAAACAACAACAAAGAACTGAATTTACTCTTCGATAGTTAAATATCATAAAAGCCTCAATGCTCAATTGTCTATCAACCACCTATCAAGTACCACCCCAGATATGATCTTCAGATTAGTCATATTCCTTGTATTAACCTACATTTGGTCATAATTTTATACTTAATGCTAGTAATGCGTTAGACTTCCGGATAATAGGTGTCATCAAACATGGCTAACGGATTTTCATTTTGATGATCATTTCAAGGAATTAAAAAACAATTTTCATTTCTGAACTTTTTATGGTTGGCCACTTTAGTGCAGTCTTAATTTGACACAGAACTCCCACGATGGAGAGAAATTTTCACACAGCTTCACAAAACCACAATGTCTGCTATGAGTCTCGTCTTACAATCATCCCAAGTCACAAATAAATCATAATTTAGCCTAACCACATGAAGAATATCTCATACAGACCTGGACCAGCTCCTCCCTAAGAGATTGGTTAACTACCAAAAATCCACAAGTTTAAGATGAAAATGTAAAGATCCATATACAATATTGACATAGCTATTACCAATTACTAACAATAAGTATAAAAAGGAAAGGCAGGAAAAATTAATTCCAATATGTAGCATATTCTCTAATCTCTATCATCACAATCCTGAATCTGAAATCAACCCATCAACCCTCTAAGTCTAACTCACTGGTTGACTAAGAAACACACTTACACACCTCAAGGATGTTGACCTTTGATTCTAATCCCATGGATACAAATAAACCCATTCTTGTTTCCAGTTTCAGTTCTGGCTTGCAAAAATAAAAGCAAAACCTTAATGGGATTTGAGTCAAATTGGACTTGGGTAAACAATGTGGCTAAACCATCAGATGTCAGAACAAGCAACAAGTGCCTAAAGCCATTAAATTTGTGAAAATGCCCAACAAAACACAGGATTTAAAACAGAACAAAACACTAAAGAGAAATAACATATGCAAGATCGATTCACACAAGAAATGTATAATTAAATAACTAAAAAAAAAATTAAAATAAAAAACAAAACTTCCAGGAAAATACACTCACATGCACTACCGGAGTATGTTTAGCTCAATACCCACAAAAAAGATTAGTTTTTTATCATTCCCTTGTGCAAATGAGTTAGTTTCAAATTCCAACAATCACAGATGAAAACGAATCTAGTTCTTACCGACCAATAAAAATGTTGATGCTGTGTGTCCAAAACCGCAAATGCTTAGGAAGTAGCTTCAGCTACACTATCATGGAAAGCACAGGTGAAAGACACATCTTTATAGCTGGGGGAAAAGGAAACAGAAGCTTTTGCCTGTGTGACGTTGTTTCATTCTCTCTCACGCAACGCAAGCACAGAAACTTGTTAAGAAGCCAGAGACCCCGATATTTTTTATTTATGAATTTCTCTCAATCTTTAACTTAATAAATGCTATGTTTCTTACTGCTAATCTTTCTTATTGTCTTTATTTATTTAATTTTTTCTCCTCATACTTGGTGCAATTTGCATCTGCGGCCCATTTTTTCTTACATATCTGTCTCTTAATAAAAAAATAAAAAAAAAAAGTTTACCGAAAATAAATAAATAAATAAAATTAATGAGATTTTATATTTTGAACAATGTCTTAATTTTTTTTATTCTTGCATCAATGATATTATTTTTAATTAATTTAAATTTGAGCATAATTTTTTTACTTCACCATTTATTTTCAAAATAATAAATTACTTATTTACTTTACTTATGGGACTGATATATGTATTTGGTTAAAATATATTTTTAATTTTTAGGTATGATATTTATTTTTAATTCAGGATTTTTATGAAAAAAATAATTTAGTCTCTCTATATATAATTGTTTTTAATGTCACCTAGTCATAAGTTAGTGCTACAGTACAGACCTCTTATGGGTTGAAAAAAAAATCAAAAGACCGAAAATATAATTTTAAAATCTATAGTTACTCTTTTGTTAAATATAATGGGGATAACTTTATATTAATTCATTATACTTTTTTTTTTTCGAACGGAAGTCTTTGTATGTGATGTCTTAATTCAATATACTTAAAGTATTAAGATAACTGTCATCTATAAGGATAAATTTTTCCATTAATAATTACATATTTTCTCTAAACATTATAATTTTTTATGTTTTATGGAGAGCTTTTTTTGGTAAGCTTACGTAGAGTTTAATTAGTGGTACTAATTAATTGAAATATATTGATCCAAAACTGTCATGTTAGATGAACTACATTTATAATTGAGAAAAAAATTAAGTAAAACTAATTATATCTAAGTATTTATAAATTTTGTTTGTATATGCGATTTTTCATTTCCATTTATGTGATTTTGTTTGTATAAAAATATATTATTTTATTATATTTAAATACTTTATTTTATTATTATTCTCTTTATTTTAAGAGATTTAAACAAATTGAAGGTACCAATAAATAAGATACTAATTTAATAAAGTCAGATATAAATTATTATTTACATTTATTAACTTTCGTTAATAAGTAGATGGAAGACAGAAGAATCCTATTCAAATATTTAATGGTTGCAAAATAATCAAACATTAGCTATGATATAAACCTTTATTTATTTACTTTTTTATAATGCACTGTTTCTTTAACGGTAGAAAAAGGAAAAGTTTACCCAAAAAAAAAGGGGGGGAAATATTTTTATTTTTGCTATAGAAAATTTTTCTCTACCATATATTTACATTAAAGTAAGTGGATCTTATTATAAAAAGATGAGAGAAAAAAAATTGTAAAATTCACTCACTCTTATGTGAATGAAAAATATTAAACCTTAAAAAAATTATATTATGTAAGTTAGGTAATAATGAAAATGAAACATATTGGGTAAAAGATTAAAAGCTAGTTGTAGATAGGAAAAAATGGAAGGATAAAACAGCAAAATTGTAAAACCCGACGGCACAAACAAGGAAAGAAAACCATGGTCGAAAACCAGCGTTTTTGTGGAGTATAAAGTATCAACAACAATATCGAAAACCGTTTGCTAAATGCCAAAACCACGGCCTCGAACTACCCTCACTCATGGAAACGCCCAGATTTATTGTCACACGTGTTGAACACCATGTGGGACTGTAAGCTTGGAAATCACGTTTTGGTTTTGTTGTGTGTCGAGGTCGGCAATTTTCGGCTCGGTATCAAATAGTCCGGCCTTTTATAAGTCAGCTTGTAAAAGTGTTTATGAACAGTAAATTAAACAAAAAATCATCTATAAGTGTTTATTTTTGAATTTTAATTAATTTTTTTTAATTGGCGTGGTGGTGAGTTGACCCGCCAATTCATCATAAAATAGGGTGGATTCATTTTTCTAACCCATATTTTTTGACGGGTTAACCCGCCCCGCCCCGTTTTTGGTGGGGTGGGGCGAGTCGGAGCCAACCCAAATTGCCACCCCTAACCTCACTAAGCAGAGAATTTCACCTTCTAAAAGATAGATCTACTCACAAGTGTATCACACAATTATTCCTCTCGGTAAAAAAGACATAAATCCTACTCTACAGGGTATTCTTTCTTCTTCAACAATGGCGTTGGGTTTCTTCCTCAGATGATCTTCGTCTAGAAGAAATCATAAAGAATAAGAAGAATTCAATGGTGCTCAATTTCTTCTAGTTCCTCTCTTTCTCTCTGTGAAATCTTCAACACCGGTATCTCTTCCTTCCACTATGTCGAAATCCCTTTGTGCTTTCAAGAGTTGCCTTTTTATAGGGGTGGCAATTTGGGTTGACCCGCCCCGCCCGACCCGCCCCGCCCCGCCACCAACCCGTCAAAAACGAGGCGGGGCGGGTTGACCCGCCAAAAAATATGGGTTGTAAAAATGAACCCACCCCGTTTTATGGTGGGTTGGCGGGTCAACCCACCAACCCGCCAATTAAAAAAAATTAATTAAAATTCAAAAATAAATTATATTTTATGAATTTTTTTAATATTATTTTATTTTATTTCACACTTCTCTATATTTTTTTTAGTCTCAATCTTAAATGTATACTAATATTTGTCAAACATTCTTTAGGAATTTATAAATAGATAACATTTGTCATAAATAAAATTGTTATTCTTTATTTTTTCTAGAAAGTACTAAGATAAAAAAAAATTGAATTTCACAAAAATTTAAGTACTAATGAAATACTACCTAATTGTAAAAAAATAAAAAAAATAATAAGAAAATTTAAAACCCGGCGGGTCAACCCGCCTCACGGCGGGTTGAACCCGTTTTGACCCACTTCTAGGCGGGGCGGGTTGAGGTGGGTTGGTGGGTTGAAAATCTCAACCCAACCCGCCCCGTTTTGGCGGGTTGGCGGGTTGACTCGCCGGGCTCAACCCATATTGTCACCCCTACCATTTTATAGTGATGAAATCATATCTTTTAATTTTTCATAATATCTTCAATGAAATCTTCTCTAGAATCTCCAATTATATCTTGAATCCATTCTTTTAAATCTTTCCTTTTATCTTTAAAGGAAAACATTCCTTAAAAATATTCAAGGGAATATTTAATAAGATCTTAAACGAATTACATGATTCAGAAATATAAAGTAAATCCACTTGAGCTTTTCAATTTATCTCTTTATTAAACTAAAAATTACTGCAAAATATAAGAATTTTTATGAGAATATTATTGAGAATAAAATAACACTTTAATTATAATTCTCATAACTTTTAATTACTTTTAAATCAATTTCATGCTCATATTAACCCTTAATACATAATAAATTGAAGACTCACCAACATATACAGTGCATTATTTTGATTATTCTATTTATAAGTTTTATACCTGAAGTGAACTTTGGGGTGGAAAAATCCTCTAAGTTACTGAGATATTTATCTCACCCCACGGGTACCCCCTTTCAGGTATTGGCATGATGGTGCAGAAGGGTTTATAGGCAAGAGGCCTATGGTGACTATGCTCTATTCCATGCTGCTGCTGCTGTTTATTTATTTTGTTGTCTATGTATTAATATCATAGCCTATGTCGACAACAAGCTATTTTGGATTACTATTGTATCACATGTATATGTAGTCTTATTATAAGAACATGTAATGTTGATGCATAGAGGGACTTAGCCTATGATCATGGTTCTTGTGTATTTGTCATATTGTTGATTTATGTAAAGGACTCTTATCATATATTTTGTAATAGTTAAGTTCCAAGTGATGTATTTTATGGATATTGGTGTACTCTGATATTGTTATGATGGAAGGGCTCGTATGCCTATTGATAATTTGGATGATGCATGTATTTATTGAATTGTCATTTAAGTCGAGGTATCATGGTGGGAATTATCTCCGATTGTCCGAAAGAAAATGGATTGCTGTTTGTTTCATTTTGTGAGTTGCTGGTAGGAGATTATCATTTTGTGTAATTAACTACCATCAATCGGTAATAGATTGGAGCCATATTGTTCATGGGAACTCCATGATGGTATGATATGTTGAAGTGAGTCTAGATGTTTTGCTTTTTGGTATGAGTTATAATTACAGTTTGAATTATTTATAAATACATAAAGTGTTTTAAGCAGAAAATATTATGCGTTCAAAAGAAAAAGTTAAGTTGTATTTTAATTCAACCCTTGTGAGTGTAAGTGTTCTTAATATCATATGAATGATAACAAACTGGATGCATACTAGTGTTACAAAGGGACATACACCTGGTTCCATGTACATATATAAGATGTAGCTCATAAATAGACATCATGCATACGGGACAGCCTGCAAGAGCCACTTCTGCTCACCAATAAGGTTAAATGTTGCAATACTAAGGCGGTGTAAGCAGGACACTTAACCACTATATAAATAAAGGCTTGAAGCCCAGGTATGATCATCTTTACCATCTAAACTAAAGCTCATCAGTCATACTGACTTGAGCATTAGAGTACCTCGTACGTACCTCCCCCTAGTCACCCCAATCAACCAAGAGGTCTAGTTCCAAGACCTCCATCTCATAGAGCATCCCGTAAGCTACAGTTCATCTCGCAAAGCCATCATCTCGTAGCACCTATTCCAGCAAAGACCCAAACAACCATTGGACTATGTTCAACCGTGTGTGATTTAGCCCAATTATTATTAAACAAATCAAATGGTTATGCTTTTAGAACTCATAATGCTTAATTGGTAGTAGCTTCAAAATATGGTGGACCTTCAAGGAATGTTGAATATGGAGAGAGTTGTGACTTGACAATTGAAGAGACTGACATAGATGCTTGGAAATGAACTGAAGTTGTTATCGAAAACATTATTGGTTTCGTGATTTAAATTTGATGATAAACATAAAGTTTTCACTTATGGGTTATGTGAAATGATCCACTCCAAATTTCATATTATCTTATTATGTGTAGATTTTGTATTTATCTCTATCCTTTTGTAGATATTCACAATTTTTAATAGAGCTCTACGAATCTAATGTTTGTAAGGGAAGATACAAGTACAAAATTTTTACACATCATATGAAATTTAAACATGAGAAAAGTTACTCCCTAAAATTTGCACATGAGAGGATACATTTTCAAAATTTGAAAATATGTCATGTCGTGTGTAAATTTAATGTGACTTGATCATATTGTGTCCATCTCTGTCTTTTCATAAATATTTACAAAAATATTGATAGGGTCCTACCCATCTAATGTTTGTAAGAATAGAGACAGAAATAAATTTTCTTAATAACCAAGTTTTTCACTTAGTTTTAACAATATATATATATTGTTAAAACTATATATATATATAACTTAAAGGACCAATTTGAAACCTAAATTTTTTTTTAAGGAAAATTCAAAAACTAAACTACTTAAAAATTAAAGAGCCAAAGTGTATATATATATACTAGTTATTTACCCGTGTGCTGCACGGAGGGAAAAAAAATTCAGTTGGTTGTCGACCGAATCTTGTCGCATCCTTCTAAATGAATTGACGTTTAATAAAAATTATTAACTTATATAACTATAGGTACGGGAATTATTATCACATAAACAATCAGCCAAAATATTACACATATATAAGATATTCGACAAAATATGAAATGACTACTTAAAAATTATCAGTTTCAATTATGTAGTATAACAAAACATTAAAAATCAAAAAAATTCGTTGGACAAAATAACTCACTTTGGTTGGTCATCACTCCAATGTTTTTGGCAGTTATTACAAAACAATCTGTCAAAATCTTCACAAACATAATAGAGGCATTTCTTACAGGATTTGTACCACCAATTGAATTTACTCCCAATTGCTTTGATGGTTCCGTAAGCAATGCACATCATAATCTGAAAAAAGAAGAAACATATATAACATTAACGACATTTAAAAATATATAAAAATAATTAAAAAATATAGCATAACTTTATCCCAATCATAACTAAAAAAAATCAGAAGGACATGCACAAAATTAAAAAAAATAAAAAGATTTTTTCATCATAAATGCATTCAAGTTTGTGAACTGCAAAAAGAAATCAAATCAACTACACTAACATTTGAAATACTTCTTTATAGACAATGTTATAGGTACTATTTGCAACACAACCATTATCATCAAATATAAGAATCTTCAATCCTTGTTTGCTCTTTACTCTTGATGCGCCACATATAATTGTCCATGAGTAAAAACAGGTCTAGGAAGATAAATTCCAACATGAGAAAGCGATTGTCCTTGACTCTTGTTGATAGTCATTGCAAATGAAACCACCAAGGGAAATTGTCTTCTTTGGAAATTTATAGGAAACGTATGAGAAGACGGGCTGATAGTGAGCCTAGGGATTAAGACAGTTTCTCCTATATTGCTTCCTTTAAGAACAGTTGCCTCAACAACATGGTTGCCTAATCTAGAAATAAGCAGTCTTGTGCCGTTACATAACCCCTTTGATTGATCAATGTTTCTCAAAAGCATAACCGACACATTAACCTTTAAAGTTAATTTATGATCAGGAAGTCCGAAACATGAGAAGGTATTTAAAATCTCAGGAGAGAATTCAACATCCTCTAGCTCAGAATTTCCATCTTGCTTCAAAACACTATCCGAACTCAAATATGTTCGTTCTTCACCCGGAATAAAACTCATAAGCCGCTCGTTTAAGATAGCAACATCTGCCAATTTAGGAGTCAAAATGACACGTTCTTTGAAAAAAGCAGGATCAAAAATATGATTCAACATATTCGGATACACAAAATCAACCAAATCTGAAAGTGGATCTTCCGATTCTTTGATCAATAGTGCATCTGGAATTGTTATAATAGATTCCCCGTCCACATCATCTCCAAGATCACCATCTCCTATTTTAAGAAGCCATTCTGAGAATTCTTTTATTTCCATCAAATTTTGATTACTATTTCCTGAAGTTAGAAGCATGTTTTTGGTCAGAGTCAATAGATTACAATGCGGCCAAAGATGAGACGAATTAATAGTGGCATGAACTATATCATGTCTGCTACCATGAGGAATCACAGGTAAAATCTGCCGGAAATCACCTCCTAAAACAACAACTTTTCCACCAAATGGATTATCACAGAAACTCGGATTAGAAAATCTAAGAACATCTCTAAGTGTTCTATCAAGAGCCTCAAAGCAAAATCTGTGTACCATTGGGGCCTCATCCCAAATAATTAAGCTTGTTTTCGACAACAACTCAGAAAGAGTAGAATTTTGGCTTATGTTACACGTTGAATCTTCGTTGATCTGAATAGGAATACGAAATCTGGAATGTGTTGTACGTCCTCCAGGCAACAGGATAGAAGCAATTCTGCTCGAAGCAACATTTAGTACAATTTTTCCATTTGATCTAACAGATGCAGACAAAGTATTCCAAATAAATGTTTTTCCTGTGCCTCCAAATCCATAAAGAAAGAAAAACCCCCCTGTGCCTCGGGAAACCGCTGAAATAATCTTCTCGTAGACATCTTTCTGCTCATCAGTTAGGGAATGTAATAATCTCTTATGTTCTTCTATCAAAAATAACCTGTCATACGATAACTCATCAAGCACCAATCTATTTTGTATATCCAGCAATGATTCCATCATTATGCGAGGCATTGACGGGTAATCTGATAGAGATCTACCATTGTTCTGCAGTACTTTGTCTATTTCAGCAAGTGTAGAATTTATTATACAATCTTCTGGAAGAGATACATCTAAACAAAGAATAAAACAGAATACTAAGAAATTGAATTATAAACAACAGAAAAAATTAAAAAAAAAATATTAACTTCAAGATGCGTTAGAATATATATGAAATTCAAAATGACTTATTCTATTAACGGACTTTTTATAATGAATTAAAAAAAAGAGGAGGTTAATATTTTTGAATTTAAGAAAGTATAATTAATTTTTAAAATGACAAATAAAACTCTCTCACCATTGAGATATGAGAAACAACAATGATATACTGTAAGGAGCCTAAAAAAACGTTAACTTTTTTATAATAAATTTAATTCAATGTGAAGTAACAGACTTAAACAGTAACATCAATAATAAAAATAATGTTTTCTTTACAAAGGTTACAATATTTTTAAGATTAACATTTATTTCAACTTAAATTAACAACTTATTTTCAGTATCAACAATAATAACTGAAAATGTTTTAAATTTTTAATAAAAAGAAAGTGAAATAATTTATAAAATATTATTTTTCTTGAACTCAAAGCAAACAGATAATAATGTTGGACATTATACATACAGTAACATGAAAGTATATGTCATTCTTGAAGTAATCAACATGAAAAACATATCTAACATTTTGAAATTGTCGATATATCTCTTGTTGCAGTAAAACATTGGTCTTTAGAAATAATGCATGAAAATTGTTATAAGCACATACCTGAACATCCGATATTTTTCCTATGTAGATATAAGATATCGTCAGAGAGGAATTTCCAAGACTTTTCCCAAACAAATTCAGGTCTAGTCATTGAATTGCTAAATAAAAGAAGAGCAAACAGATTACGAAGATAAGAAGCTGACCCCTATGAACTTGCCTCTTTAATAGCATCGATATACTCTCTGTCATCATCCAAAAGACCTAGAAAATAGCATGCATCCTTAAACGAAGGAAAAAACACACCATTAATTGTTCTCAAATCATAATAGCTCGTACAACCTTTCTGAAAAGTAAGAAGCATCCGAAGATATGAATCTTCTCCATTATTAGCTGAGAAACGATTTATTCTACCGATTGAAAATCCTTTTTTTCTAGGGTGCCATTCTTGGGTATCTTCTTTATAAACAAAATGGGTTGGATACTCAGCATAAGTTAGATGCCTTCCTTCTGGATATTTTTTGTTTGCTTCCATCCAAGCCTCAAAAATTGACCTCCTGGACTCAGCTCTTGTCTTCACATCAGATATTGATGCATTATCCCGGAAAACAACATTCTTTGCATTAGGTAAGTGAAATGACAATCTCTGAACAGGAGGATATCTAAAATGAATATCAAAGCCAAAAATTCTCCAAGCAGCCTCGCATGCAGACACATACCTATAATAAAAGAAGAAATTTATTCCAAAGAAAGGAAAAAAAAATCGTAATTCAGTTCAAATAAGCGAAAAAAATCACACGTTCATATATTTGAAATTCACTACCTGCAATCATAAAACATTTGAATTTCATCATTTTTTCGAGATGCGTCAAGAGTTGGATCTGAATGTTTTATAGCAGTTGTCACGCGATCATTTCCTTTATGGATGTATTTAAAAAGATATTTAATAGCACCGCTCTGACAGGTGTATTCAACATTTATATGAGCTTGATATTTTAAAAGAAGGTTTGCATTGTAAGGCGCAACAGAACGATTATCTAGCTCCACACCATTCCTAATAACAAATCTCCCATTATTTCTTCTTTTATAATGAGGGAATCCATCATCGTCAATAATTGTACGGGAGCTGAATTTTTTGGGAAATTTCTTTGAACACTTTCCCTCTTTCATGCAAGGAGACTTGTAATTATTAGGACCACATGGACCGTGCATCATATAACTTGTTACAGCTACAAATAATGAAGGATCAGAATCTTTATCAGGAATCTCCGCAGAAATCAATTTGTCAATATCGAGAGCACTTTCTCGCTTGTTAGAGGAATGCAAGAACAATAGAATATGAGCATGAGGCAACCCACGTTTTTTAAACTCAATTGTACAAACATCTGTTAATTTCAAGTAAAACAAACGATTATAATTTGTATTAAAAAACGCAAAAAAAATAAAAAAAATAAATAAGATACGTACATGCAAAATTAGGAAATATAAAGATATGGTTTTGATTTTAATAAAAAATGCAAAAAAGTTATTCCAAAACAATAACAAATAAAAAAATACGTACATGCATTAATTTTGCCAAGAATATGTCCGTTTCTTAAATCCTGTAACAACTGGTCCTATTTGAACTTGAATACTCTGCAAAGAATATCTGGACGATCTTCAACGTTCAGCGTTCTAGCCTTAAGAAACCGTGAAATTTCTGGCCACTTCGGATTGCAGGTAATTGTTATGAAAAGATGAGGTTGTCCAGCCCAACAGCAAATTGCAAATGCATTCTTACAATTTTCTGCCATATATCTTGGGTCGCACGTGAAAGAAGAAGGTATAATAATACGCCTGCCTGTTTTGATCGTTGTATCTTCTCCTCTGTCAAACGCGTGTACTACATTTTTGTACAAATCAGCTCTGAGATTAGCCTGATTGTAACGAATGAAATTAAGACGTTCGTGCTCAATCATTGTATAAGCATCAACCAAGAACTGTTGGAAAAGTTTTCTAGATTGATGGAGAACTTGGGACTCTCCTAATCTGATCTGAAGTCTAAATGCAAAGAATTCTCTAATGCTGATAGTTGATCTTGGGTTTGTCCTACCAGTGGAAATTGAATTACGATGGACATCATCGCGATAACCATCTTCACCGTAAGGAAATAACAAAGGATACTGCAAACCCAAATATAATGGATGTTTAACATCAATGCGCTTTCAGTGACCTTTCAGTGATGCTTGCTTAATATGATCAAGGGCTGTATATATGGTTTCTGGGGTTGAAGATTCACGAAAGTAATTAACAACACCCTCACGAAAGAACACATTAGGATTCCCACTCTCTCGACAACGTTGGATGAAATAGTTTACTCGATTCCTCTTTAATATTTTTGCTTGGTCGAAGGCATCCTCACTGCTTGCCTCAAGTTGATGAAAGAATGGTTTGGCTTCTATTACCCACTCCAACGGACCATCATCAAACTTTTCAAACTTTAATGAGTGGTATAAAAATAAATCTTTTATTTTTTGTTTAATTTAAGTAGCTAAAAATTCAGTATTATTAATACCATTTTGAAAAAGAAAAAGAAAGTAATTACTTAATGAAATAAGCATATTCATCATTTGTTGGGAAACCAATTTTTTGAAAAAAATACCATATCCAACGCTGATTGTTTAATTTATTCCAATAAATTGATATTTGAATTTAAAAAAAATGTATTTATTTTTGTTGGTAACAGAAGTTTAATGGTATAATTAATATTTTTAATTAGGTTATATAATTTTGTTATTTAATTTATTTATTATACAGAACCTTAAATATACACACACATAAGGTGTATAAAATCATTAGTTGAATTTAAATTCAAAATGTATTTGTTTTTGTTGGTAACAGAAGTTTAATGGTAGAATTAATATTTTTAATTTGGTTATATAATTTTGTTATTTAATATATTTATTATACAGAACCTTAAATATATACATGAGGTGTATAAAATCATTAGTTGAATTTAAATTCAAAAATGTATTTATACAATATTACAATGAGGAATGTTTTTCTACAATAAAAGGTCATATATAAGTCACAAATGCAGCGTTCATGAAGTTTCATTTGTTGTGAAAACTCATGAGTAATTATGGTGAATTTCCAAACACACGTAATAATATATATTAATATGCATACGGAAATTGTAATCAGAGAAATATTAGCCAAAAAAATTTACTGATATATTTATCTCACCCCACGGGTACCCCCTTTCAGGTATTGGCACTGATGGTGCGGAAGGGTTCATGGGCAAGAGGCCTATGTAGACTATGCTCTATTCCATGCTGCTGCTGCTGTTTATTTATTTTGTTGTCTATGTATTGATATCATAGCCTATGTCGACAACATGTTATTTTGGATTACTATTGTATCACATGTATATGTAGTCTTATTATAAGAACATGTAATGTTGATGCATAGAGGGACTTAGCCTATGGTCATGGTTCTTTTGTATTTGTCATATTATTGATTTATGTAAAGGACTCTTATCATATATTTTGTAATAGTTAAGTTCCAAGTGATGTATTTTGTGGATATTGGTGTACTCTGATATTGTTATGATGGAAGGGCTCGTATGCCTATTGATAATTGGGATGATGTATGTATTTATTGAATTGTCATTTAAGTCGAGGTATCATGGTGGGAATTATCCCCGGTTGTCCGAAAAGAAAATGGAATGTTGTTTGTTTCATTTTGTGAGTTGCTGGTAGGAGATTATCATTTTGTGTAATTAACTACCATCAATCGGTAATAGATTGGAGCCATATTGTTTATGGGAACTCCATGATGGTATGATATGTTGAAGTGAGTCTAGATGTTTCGCTTTTTGGTATGAGTTATAATTACAGTTTGAATTATTTATAAATACATAAAGTGTTTTAAGCAGAAAATATTATGCGTTCAAAAGAAAAAGTTAAGTTGTATTTTAATTCAACTCTTGTGATTGTAACTGTGCTTAATATCATACGAATGATAACAAACTGGATGCATACTAGTGTTACAAAAGGACATACACCTGGTTCCATGTACATATATAAGACGTAGCTCATAAATAGACATCATGCATACGGGACAGCCTGCAAGAGCCACTTCTGCTCACCAATAAGGTTAAATGTTGCAATACTAAGGCGGTGTAAGCAGGACACTTAACCACTATATAAATAAAGGCTTGTTATCAAAAAAATAAAAAATAAAAATAAAGGCTTGAAGCCCAGGTATGATCATCTTTACCATTTAAACTAAAGCTCATCAGTCATACTGACTTGAGCATTAGAGTACTTCGTACGTACCTCCCCCTGATCACCCCAATCAACCAAGAGGTCTAGTTCCAAGACCTCCATCTCATAGAGCATCCCTTAAGCTACAGTTCATCTCGCAAAGCCATCATCTCGCAGCACCTATTCCAGCAAAGACCCAAACAACCATTGGACTATGTTCAACCGTGTGTGATTCAGCCCAATTATTATTAAACAAATCAAATGGTTATGCTTTTAGAACTCATAGTGCTTAATTGGTAGTAGCTTCAAAATATGGTGGACCTTCAAGGAATGTTGAATATGGAGAGAGTTGTGACTTGACAATTGAAGAGACTAACATAGATGCTTGGAAATGAACTGAAGTTGTTATCGGAAACATTATTGGTTTCGTGATTTATATTTGATGATAAACATAAAGTTTTCACTTATGGGTTATGTGAAATGATCCACTCTAAATTTCATATTATCTTATTATGTGTAGATTTTGTATTTATCTCTATCCTTTTGTTGATATTAACAATTTTTAATAGAGCTCTACCAATTTAATGTTTGTAAGGGAAGATACAAGTACAAAATTTTTACACATCATATGAAATTTAAACATGAGAAAAGTTACTCCCTAAAATTTGCACATGAGAGAATACATTTTCAAAATTTGAAAATATGTCATGTCGTGTGTAAATTTAATGTGACTTGATCATATTGTGTCCATCTCTGTCTTTTCATAAATATTTACAAAAATATTGATAGGGTCCCACCCATCTAACGTTTGTAAGAACAGGGACATAAATAAAATTTTCTTAATAACCAAGTTATATGAAAGTTTCACTTAATTTAGTTTTAACTATATATATATATTGGCTACTTTTTAAGTAGTTTAGTTTTTGAATTTTCCTTAAAAAAAATTTAGGTTTCAAATTGGCCCTTTAAGTTATATATATATAGTTTTAACAATATATATATATATATATATTGTTGAGATATATAAAATCATTAATATAGCCTCACCCAACAGCTTAAGCTTTTGGGTTGAATTGGTTCTTTAAATGGTATCAGAGCCTCGGTGTACTAGGTTCGATCCTCACCGCCTCCCATTTTCTTTATAGTGGAATTTTTTTCTACGCACAGGTAGGTGGGCCTGTGCATCGTCCACCCTTCAAGCCTAGTGGACTCTCGTGTGAGGGGACGTATTGAGATATATAAAACCATTAATGTAGCCTCACCCAACAACTTAAGCTTTTGGGTTGAATTAGTTCTTTATATATTTGAGATATAGATAATATTTTATTTTAGTTTATAATATTTGTTATTTTACATGTTTTCTTTAGGGTGAGTTGTAGAATTGTTACAACCTCCACTCGTTTATTTTAATGTTATGTTTCTTAATCTTTCTTGTTCAAGCTTGTTGCTTATGATCTATACGCTCCAGCTTGAGGGGGAGTGTTGGAAATAATATCTTTAGAATATCTTTGTAAAGAATATCTTTATTATTTGTAAAGATCTATTTCCTTATTTCATTAGGATATGGGTTAGATATGGGCTAAGCCCATTAATATTTTTTTATATATTGTACTCTCCTGAATCAATTCAATATACAGATTTATTTCAATGTTCCTCTCGTTTCTTGTTATTTTACATGGTATCAGAGCCTAACGAGAGGAATCCTTGTCCGTATTTCCTTACTCTGTTTCATAACTTTAATATGATAGTAGAGAGATATCACCCTCCGTGAGGGATTGGCTTTCCCGTTTGTTCCCTTTCTCTCTTTCTCTTTTTGCTTCTCTTTTTCCCTCTCTTTGATCCATTCTTTTTTCGGTGAACCCATTGTTCATCGTATTTTTCCGAATACTGTATCTTTTTCAGTTTTTGAACGTCTTTTTCATTCTTACACCGTATTTTTGTCGTTGCTGGATCTTTCTCTCAGCGAACGGACATACAAACACCATTACCGTTGCTTCTCTTAATTTTGCCTTTATTTTGGCCTCCCATTCAAGGGGAGCATATATCTTCGTTGTTGTCTGGTCCGCGGATTATTTCAGTTACACTTGGCTCCGTCGGCTTGTATTCCAGTTGTAACAATGCCTTTTTTCCATTATCTCTGTTGTTGCCTGGTCCGCGAATTATTTCAATTACACTTGGCTCCGTCGGCTTGTATTCCAGTTAAAACAATGTCTTTTTCCCATTATCTCTATTGTTGCCTGGTCCACGGATTACTCCAGTTACACTTGGCTCTGTCGGCTTGTATTCCAGTTGCAACAATGTCTTTTTCCCATTATCTCTGTTTTTGCCTGATCCGCAGATTATTCCAGCTACACTTAGCTTCGGCGGCTTGTATTGCAGTTACAACAATGTCTTTTTCCCATTATCTCTATTGTTGCCTAGTCCGCGGATTACTCCAGTTACACTTGACTCCGTTGGCTTGTATTCCAGTTGCAACAATGTCTTTTTTCCATTATCTCTGTTGTTGCCTGGTCCGCGGATTATTCCAGGTACACTTGGCTCCGTCGGCTTGTATTTCAGTTGCAACAATGTCTTTCCCAGCCCTTTAGGCTGATGTCTTTACCAACTCTTCAAACTGATGGTCATTCCAATTGATTTGCTGTCAATTTCTTCGACTTATATTCCGTGAAACATCCTTTTAGTTTTCTTTCTTCCCAAGATGAAGTGTCCCTCCATCTTGAGGGGGAGTATTTGAGATATTGATAATATTTTATTTTAGTTTATAATATTTGTTATTTTACATGTTTTCTTTAGGGTGAGTTGTAGAATTGCTACAACCTCCACTCATTTATTTTAATGTTATGTTTCTTAATCTTTCTTGTTCAAGCTTGTTGCTTATGATCTATATGCTAGAGGGAAGTGTTGGAAATAATATCTTTGTAAAGAATATCTTTATTATTTGTAAAGATCTATTTTCTTATTTCATTAGGATATAGGTTAGATATGGGCTAAGCCCATTAGTATTTTTTTATATATTGTACTCTCCTGAATCAATTCAATATACAAATTTATTTCAATGTTTCTCTCGTCTCTTGTTATTATATGTATATATATATTAATTTTTTGTGTGTAAAAGAGCCCAAGTATATTTTTACCTTCCAATGCGAAGAACTTCATAGTAGATAAAAGAAAATTTTAATTGGTTTAATAGAAATTCACCCATTATATATTTAATATTACTTATGACCAGTCGAATGATGATCAATTCAATAATTATTTAATTAATATTTCCAGTTTGTCGAAAGAAAGGGGAAGAAATAGAGGTGTATTAATATGTGGGTTTAACATTTTTTATTTTTTATTTTTCTATCACTCACATAAAAGTAATAAGTGTGTCTCACTATTTTTTTCTTTTTCTTCTTCGTAATAAAATTCATTCACTTTTATAGGAATATAACAGTAAAAAAATTTCTACAACAAAATCAAAAAAAAATTTCATTCAATATATAATACTAAAATGTTTTCTTTTTCTTTGTGGGGTTGTTCATTTAAAAATTTATTTATTGTCTCTATTTAACATATTATTTTCTTCTGTCCAAAGAACTTAACATACCGGTCCCTCTCAGTTAAAATCAGTCACATGCTTTAATCTGAGTTTGGCAACGAAATAGAGAAGAATTTAAAACTCAAGTACACAACTATAAGGAGACACAAGCAACTAAATTAAACAGTTGAATTATGAATAAATTAACCTATAATTACATGCTATAATATCTATACTAATAGTTTACAAAGTTGTTATAGATTTTCCAGAAATGACAAGGTTGCTAAACCAGCAGCCCAAACATCATTGTCTAGCACATGTTCTTGTGGAGAGTGACTTATCCCTCCACGACAACGCACAAATAGCATTCCCACCTGTTCAAAACCTCAAAACATTGTCATATCCTCCATGCTAATTATAAATTATGTGTCAAAAACCTACATACAAAAAAATAAATAAATAAACAAAGATATGTAACCTTTGTTAAGTGAGATATTGCCATTGCATCATGCCCTGCTCCACTCATTAATGTTGGTACTTCATCCTGAATGTCACCCTCCATTTTCTTGAGTGCAGAATAAGCTGCAGACTTGAGCTGTGAACTCAGTTCAGAATCACACATCACAGCACCTGCATCATGCTGAAGTGAACACACCAAATTCATCCATTATACATGTTGAGAATATTGTATATAGAGTTGTCTAATGTAAGGGACCAAGTCCCACATCATGTATTCTTCTTGTATATTCTTTCTTACTCAGTTATATAATAGTACATCCACTCCACATTTAAGACCATACCTTGTGTTCAATAATGCATGAAACTGAACGCTTGTCACATATTTGATAAATTTGTTTGGATAATTCATAGATAACAGCCTCACGTCCAAGGTCATCAATTGCTCGTATATCCACAGTATATGTAACCTGCAACAAATTAAAACATTGTCATCAAGAGCATTAACTCCTAAAATAAGAAAGAAAATAAAATAAAAAGTATTTTAGAAATTCATCTCTTGCCTGGCCTGGAATGACATTACTGGCACTTGGCCATGTTGATATCTCTCCAACAGTACACACAAGCGAACTTGAAAGTGATTTCACCGATGAATCACTGCAATGACCATCATAAGAAAGGTATTCTTCGGGATGTTTACAGAGGCTTTCCATAACTACGATTAATTCAGCAGCAGCAGCCATAGGATCCTGGCGCATGGACATTGGAACAGTTCCAGCATGACCTTGTGATCCTCTCACTGTAACCTGCACAGTTGATTATTTATAAACTAACATATATGTATAAAATTCAATTAAACCAACCAAGATCATTGTGTAGATAAAAATTTTGTCTAGACACACCATGTCACAAAATGTAATGTGGTGACAAGTTCACATCATGTGTTTCACATGCATGAAAAAGATTGAAGTCTTGTTTGCAGGAACATTTGGATAATCATGGTTATATCTTGTTGGGTTAACATAAAAGGCTTAAAATGATAGGAAACAAGTAGAACTGATGCAAGCAACTAAGTGCATTAAAACACACCACTGCAATGCTACAGAACAGATTATACTTGACATTTCTACTACATATTTACCATATATAATATCAAATACATATATGAGGTGCAGAGGTAGGTGTATTTAGATTAGGTTCATTCATGCAAGAATGAGTACTAAATGTACCAGTCAATATGTACCGTTGATTTTATTACATTTGGCTTCATTACCGTCCAAGTGACAGAGAAATGAAAAGTAATTAAGGACATCAATTTCCTGTTTTCTAGATACCAAGTGTAACATCCCGAGCGCTGACGAGGGCGGGGAGTGATCGCCGGTGCAAAGAGGCATGGACAAGGAGCGGCTCCTGACAGGCTTCCAGCGGGGGGTTACATGCATGAATGAATCGAATCGACACCCGAAAGAGAGGGATTGTAAAGACTGTGCAGGTATGAGACTGCACAGTTTGGGATAACTTATAAGAATTAATTGGTACTACCTATACTAACAAGATGCATCTGCTTTTCGGTAGCTCGGATCGGAAGAACTCCACAGTTAAGCGTGCTTGACTTGGAGCAATTCTGGAATGGGTGACCTCCTGGGAAGTTTTCCCGGGAAGTGTGCGAGTGAGGAAAAAGCATACTGAAAAGTCTCGTGTTAGTATGTGGGGATAGTCATTGATTCTTGAAGCGGCCGGGCGTTACAAATGGTATCAGAGCAGGGCCTCTCTTCCAGTACGGTGTGGTTCGAGGACGAACCAGGCGGAAGTTGGTGGGCATGTAACATCCCGAGCGCTGACGAGGGCGGGGAGTGATCGCCGGTGCAAAGGGGCATGGACAAGTAGCGGCTCCTGACAGGCTTCCAGCGGGGGGTTACATGCATGAATGAATCAAATCGACACCCGAAAGAGAGGGATTCCAAAGACTGTGCAGGTATGAGACTGCACAATTTGGGATAGCTTATAAGAATTAATTGGTACTACCTATACTAACAAGATGCATTTGCTTTTCGGTAGCCCGAATCGGAAGAACTCCACAGTTAAGCGTGCTTGACTTGGAGCAATTTTGGGAAGGGTGACCTCCTGGGAAGTTTTCCCAGGAAGTGTGCGAGTGAGAAAAAAGCACACTGAAAAGTCTCGTGTTAGTATGTGGGGATAGTCATTGATTCTTGAAGCGGCCGGGCGTTACACCAAGCTCCAATTTCTGGTTCTGCTCATGTAGCTTGAAGTTATAATTTTATTTTGCATTGTATCTTAACTACTTTTGGTACACCCTTGTAGTATTGTATATCCTTTATTGAGCTGAATGAAGCTTAAGAATTAGTAATGTTGAATCAGACCATCAGCTCCTCCTTTCTGAATCCATCTATACCTGTTTCCTTTTTACTGTTGTTTTTACATTGAAATAATTATCTGATCTGCATGTAGTATTAACTTGAGAAGCACTTGTATAATAATCCTCTTGTAGTAAACACAGTTGAGACAAAACTGAGGCTGAATTTGTATTTTGTACCTTCAAACGTGTCTGGCCAGCTATGCCTTTAACCGCACCAAGTGGGAAACCGAATTGTTCTAACACAGGACCCTGCTCAATGTGAACCTGCAGCATTTAAGAAGCACACAAACAAATTTACATGAGTCATATTGGTGTAAATATTGATCTACAGCACTATGGATGAAGAATGCAAATGTTTTCGTATACCTCGACATAACCCCAAACTGATTTTGGGTCATACTTGAGTTGTAAAAAACTTTCCTCTGTAATTTCTTCTGAGTTCTCCTTAAGAACATCTTCTATCGTTACATTCCTGAAAGAGGAGTCTATAGATAAATATATAGTTATATGAAATTATACTATTACTATAACCAAAAAGTTCCTCGGTGTTAAACCTCTTATCAGTTATCGCCAATGTTGTAGCAGGTAAAATACCAGCTACAGCACCACTGCCCAAGAAAGTAGTTTGAAACCTGACACCCTCTTCATCACTAAATGCAATCACCTGAAGGATTAAATGTTAACATCAATAAAAAAGAAGCATAGTTCCAACTTTTTCATGTACATTGTTATGACAATCTTTTTCTCAGTGCACATCATTATTATGAAGAGAATAAATCAATGAACACTGAGCACATAGACAAGATGTTTATTAATATATATTGCATAATTATATCAGTTACTTCACCAACCTCAACAGGACGCCTTAACTTCTGCAGCTTTCCATTTACATGCATTGCCTTTAACGCAGATATTGCAGTGACTATTCCTAATGATCCATCAAACATCCCAGCATCAACAACAGTGTCCTATCCAAAATAAGTATCCATTGTTAATATGTATCGTCACTAAAACCTTCCATTAATTGTCAAGTAAAGATTCAGTTCTATTTAACATAAACTTAGGAGGATATAAATGCTTCCTCACCATGTGAGATCCAACCAATAAAGCTTCAGCATTTGCATTTGCTCCCTCAACTCGACCATGTACGTTTCCCATCTGGTCCACCCAACTGGAAAGAACATAAGCATCAGCCAAGCTTTCAGAAAAACCATTCGGAGTTGAAGAAGTTAGAAGGCTAACGTTCTCAAACCAGCATCCTCCATCCATTTACGAATAAGATTAATTGCCTTCAAGGATGCAGGACTCAAAAATGTCCTCTCCAGATAGCCACTAGCATCACTCACCTGTTCATCCAACACCAACATTAACTTCAAAGCATAAACAAATTTTAACATCCCTTTAGTTTAAAACTTAACAACTTGACTCTTTAAATCATAACCAATGTAGATAAACTTAAGAGTTCGGAATGATAGGTAACATACTCCAACCAATGTAGGTAATTAATTAGTGAAGAACAGAAATTCATCCCTGCCATTTTTGATTAGAGTAGAAATATACATGAAAAATTATCAAACAAAGTAAAGGTGAGTTAAGGTTAGGTACCTTTCCAAGCTCATAAAGTCTTGCCACTGCTTCATCTCTTAGAATCTGCGGAAACAAATCACCTCTTTTTTCTAAATCTCCAGTTTCAATACCTAACCATTTCAAATAGGTACTTAGCACATCCAAGCAATCATAAACATCAACAGACGTCCAAGTCAGAGTATTAAATTATTAATCATCATTGTTAACATATATAAACATTTCCATTGAACTAAAAGAGTGTTATGAATTGACCCATTCAACACTCTCTCTCAGAACTAAACACAAAAACACAAATTTTCTTAGATCTACTCACACAAACACAATCTCCATTTTTTGTCAGCTTTGAGCATCAGACATCAACAAAAGCCCACACAACACAAGCCCAGAAGATACATCCAGAGAGTCAAAGCAAGAGAATTACAAGGGCCCACGTGAACATTAATAAAAAGAAAGAAGACTCTTTCTTTTTCTTTGCTGGCTCAGAGAGATTAAAGGTGACGCCACAAACGGGACAATCCCAACCGTCAACACGCTGAGGTGGCGTTTGTTCTTTTTCTGGGCTTTGTTGAGGTGCTGTGTTGCATCGAAATCTGAGATAAACAAAAAAAAAGACATCTTGTTCTAACATCTATGCAAATGGAAACTAAATCCTTAAAAGGGTGTCTTTGCACTTCATCAAAGAATCAAAACTCAACAACCTCTTTTTACTTTGTTTTTCTGAAATAACAATGAAAAAAACAAAATAATTATTACCAGAAAACATAGAAGCACAAGAAGGAGCTGATAGTAGACAGAAGAAGAAGAAGCAAGAGTGAAGGAACGTGAGAGTGAGAGTAGTTGAAGTGGATTGAAGAGGTTTGAAGCATTTGTTAAAGGAAGTAGTAGTGGAAGTCATAGTGAGAGATAGAGAAGGTGGTGGTTATGGTTATGGCTATGGCTATGGATATGGCTATGGGATTGGGAACAACTTGGGTGGACACAACACAAAGAACAAAGAACAAAGGAAGCAAAAGCAAATGAATGGCAAAAGAGAAAAATAAGTACACCACTATTTCTCGATCTTAAAGAACCGAATCATATGGTATATGAGGTTGTGGTGGAGGTGGCGGCTGCTATGAAGACCCGTGACATGCACGAGCTTTGTTGCATTGTGGGACCCTTTTTACAAGCCGTATTGTATTTGCCATTTGCATTTTCCATATTTTTGAAGGTGCAATGCTGGTCACGTAACTCTTTTTTATAAGTCTGGGCACTTGAAAATATATACTAAGATTCTATTTCAACTATTGTTATGTTGAAAACGAGGTTTCTCGTTTCTGTCTATCATCTTTTTAATCAGTATATTCATGAAGATGATTGGAACATTAGTTTATTGGGTTTTTATAACGAGTTAAAAGTCTAAAACATTAAAGTGTCTTATTACATGTTTCTTGTGATGTTAAGATAATACACGTTATTTTATATTGCATATTTTATTATTTTTGGAAGGATTATATTTACAAATTTTTTGTTTACAAATTACACTATGTTCTCCCGGAAGTTACTCTATGTTCTCTCAAAAGTACATAGTGTAATTTATAAAAAAAGTTTATAAACGGATTCTTCCCTTCTGTTTTTATGTATTTTTTGCTTTCTTAAAAGGATGTTCAAGTACTTTGATTAAAGACAATAATAATAATAATAATAATATTAATAATAATAATGGCTTATGTTTTCTTCTGTAACAGAAATCAAGATTCTTTTCCTGCACTCACAATAATAGTGCCCATTTACTTTTTTTTTTTTTTTTTTTTTTTAATTTTAAGTGGGCTCCACATAGAAGATTGTCATAATAATAATAATAATAGTAGTAGTAGTAACGATGATGATGAAGAATATCAATTGATACCATAGTATAGTCAATTCAACAGTTCAATATTACTCATATTCAATTTAAGGAAGAGAAATCAAGAATAGTTAAAGAAAACTATAATAAGAGAGCGACAATTTTGTAATTAACTTTAATGAATAGATAATTTGAATTTTGACTATTTTTAAATTATGATATTCATTTAACATAATCAAATTAAATATTTCTATACTTTTTAAAATTTATATAGATTGAATTATTAATGACAAAATAAAATATTTGATGACTTTATATGAAAATTTGCTATTGTGTTAGTTTACTACTTTAATTTGGTAATGTGAATTACAAAAAAGTTACAAGAATAATTTTTTATTTCAATACAAGACCTCATTATGTATTTTAAAAAACAAATAAATCATTACTATATATTTTGTAGTTCATAATGCTACCAAATGACGTGAATCATATACTTTTATAGGAATTCTTTCAACTTAAACAGTGATCTTGAAACTTAGATATGCAACTGTATTAAAAATTTATAATATACAAGAAGAACTTTATCATCATTTGTAATCATAAGCAGCTTAAATCCAGATTAGTTAAAATTAATGCCAACAAAATATTGGAAGGTTTATTAAACAAAAGTTGTGTCGTAATTTTTTTATTAATTAAAAAATAACGTAATATGAACAAATTCAATAGTTGATTAAAAAAAAGCAAGTATAAAGTCAATTGATTGAAATACGAATTTATATAGAAAATTTTAATGTGCACACCATACAAACAAACATAGAAAGGTCAGGTACTTTTTATTATGTTTACTAATATTTAACTTTATTTTATCATGAATAAAGAAATAAAATAAAATGTGAAAGCATAACAATAGAAACAGTTAAATGTTAGTAAAATATAATATTAATATTTTTAGAATTGATTTAGCTGTTTTCTTGGATCACGAAAGAAGAAAAAGATTTCGCAGTGCTTTAAAATTTAAAATTTTATGAAGAAAATAAGATAAGACGTGAGAATAAAAACTTAAAAAATATTAACAATTTACCAAAAGGATCGATTATATCTAAGCAATTTTATTTATGTCTGCACATTTAGGGATGGGGTTCGGTGGCAATGCCCCCAAATTTTTTTTTAAAGAAAATTTTAAATGTATTAAAAAAACAAAAGAATATAAACAAAATAAGAATAGAATACTTGAACTTAATTACTACAAAAATAAAGTCTTTTTTGAGTCCTCAACAAAAATCATGAGACCCAATTTAATTTCTTATAAAAAAATTGATTTCTTATCCCTCTGAATTTTAAAATAGACTCATTTTAGTCTTTTTGAGGGACTAATGTAGGTTTTCTTTGAATTTCAGAAAAACCACGATTTCGACTAACCGGGTCTATTTTGAAATTTAAAGAGACCAAGAGTTGACTTTTTTTTCTAAGAGATTAAATTGGGCCCTGTAATCTTAATTTTTGTTGAGGACTCAAAATATACTCTCTTTTTTCTTCAAAAATTTGTGTGTGCACTTGCACACACTTACTCCTAAACAGGTCTGCCGATGGTTTGATGTCTTAGCAAAATCTTAGGTTTAAGTTTTTGTGAATGTAAATTTTTTTTTAAGAAAGTTAGCTCCATCATAATGTAAATATATACAATTCGAACATGATTACCTCCTGTGAAAAATATTTTTGGTTTATCAAAAAAAAAATTGTGTAATTCCTGACCGTGTGCATAGAAAAAACTTTATTTACAGAGATAAAATTCACTTAAATAATTTTTATGCCTCGAAAAAATTAATCTTCGATAGTCTATTAGAGGATATAAAGTTATACTAAAAAAATTTAGTTTAGTATGGGTAGGATGGAGTTTCTTAAAAAAATAAACCAAATCAATTAATATTTTTTTAATCACAAAACTCGAACCAAATTAACTAGTAAACATCTTAACACGAGTTAAGAAAAAATAAAAGCATGCAATTAGTAGGTCACCTTTTAAGATTCTTTCGATCTTAAAACATGCATGCCGACGCGTACTCCACGACCCGAATGAATCGCTCTTGTTTGTCATTTTCCGAAGATACCATTGGACCTACCAAACCAGACTGTGTTAAATGCTGCCCTTTTTGTACTAAAATAAAAATAAAAATGCTGCCCACTTATGGATCTCGTATATACTTACGTATTTTATACTTGTTTAGAGTTTAGATAACATACCTTTATGTTTGATAAATATATGAAATCATATAAAACATATATAATATTCATACGATAAGCAAAATAATAAAAAAAGACATTAAATATATCTTTTTTTAGTACAATCTTAAATATACTTACACTAAATACATTTTACATTATGTGAAAAATATACAGTATAATATAATAAAAATCAATCCTAACGATAAATAAATATTTAAAATTTTATTTTAAAAAGCATCATATTAAAAATTTTATATAACTACTATAATGTAATAGTACAACACACACAAATGCATGAGATAGCCGTGAAGCAAAACATTACATATCTTATTTTATATTAAATAATTACATAAGCTTTTATAATGTCAACTTGGGCAGGTTATATATATGTATAACTTTTTTTTTTATAATCTCTTATAATTATTTATGTTATGGTGATCAAAATCAAATTAATGATAATAAAATTGTATTAATTGAGAGTTGTTAATTTAATTTTGACCTACCAATAATTAAATGGTTCTAAGGAAAAAAGATATTATAATAAGCTGCTTCAATAATAACAATATATTATTAATTGGCTAAATTTATAATAAAAGTTATATATCTTTTAAATTTGGATGCAAGAATTGCATTTTCTACGATTTTTTTTCTAACCGCAATTGATTTGTTCCTTTATTTATTGATGTTTGCAGATCTTTTTGTACACAAGAACATAACGTACAGGAGTTTATTATCGTTGGATTTGGTGAAATGGAAATTTTTGGGGATAAAAATTTTGTGGCCGATGTTTATACCAAAAATAAAATAAAATCTGTGGATGTTTTGGAGAGTTTATCTACACTAATGTTTTCTATGTACGTAATATGTATCCCTTATTTATTACTCTCTCCTACTTATATTATGTGTAGTTCTGGTTAACAAATCTTAATTCATTTGATGAGACTTTCTCATATGCTAATAAAGTATTAATGTGACGTTGAGAAATGGAAAAATTAATTAAGAATACTTTAATAAAACATTGTCATAGTTAAATATTGATTTGATATTTGTTAACCCATGTCTTGTATGACACATAATATGAACATGAAAGAGAATAGGGCATGTGTAAAAATAAGAAGTCATGTACCCAATCTTAACCGTTAATCCACTTGCATATGATAGTTTTAATTTATTAATTATGTAAGTCATTAGATATAAATGAGATCAATGATTAAAATTGAAAGTGTATAACTTGAAAAAGGGTATTGTGATATATTATTGAATTGTAAATAATCTGTACAAAGGATTCTCTATTCGTAGAGAATACATGACCTAGAATACATGACCTAATGGGCTAAACCCAATACAACAAATAAATAAATAAATAACTAAATATTATTTACAACACTCTCTCTCAAGCTGAGAAATAGATATTTATCATTCTTAGCTTGCTAGTAAGCTCTTGAAATTTGTCTGGAGGAAGTCTCTTTGTCAATACATCAGCTAATTGACGACCAGTGGGAATGTATGGAGTGGTAATCAACCCACTATCAAGTTTCTCTTTAATAAAATGGCGGTCGACCTCAATATGTTTAGTCTGATCATGTTGAACTGGATTATGAGCTATACAAATAGCGGACTTATTATCACATAGCAGCTTCATAGGTCCCTCACATTTTATTTTAAGATCATCAAGTACAATTTTTAGCCACAGTAATTCACAGATACCTTCAGCCATAGCTCGAAATTTAGCCTCTGCACTTGATCTGACAACCACATCTTGTTTCTTACTTCTCCACGTCACCAAGTTACCACAAAGAAACATACA